TTTTTTCTTTCCTTTCTTTTTTTCTTTCTCTTTCTCTTTCTTTTCTTTCTCTCTTTTCTTTCTTTTTCTTTCTGTTTTTCTTTCTCTTTCTTTCTATTTTTTTTTCTGTTTCTTTTTCTTTTGTGAGTGGCTAGGTTTCCATGCTGGGTTGTACCTTGTGATCCTACTTCCTTAGCCTCCCACAGTGCTGAGATCACCGTGGCCCCGCTTTATAAGCAATTTAAAATGTTTATTGCTGGGATTTTACTATTCAAGTTTAATGACTTTAAGTGATTGCAGATTGTACATTTTAATAACATGCAGTAACTCTTAAATGTTGTCATTTCAGCAGTCAACTGAGAGAAATGATTTACACATTTCCAAGTTTCAATTGTATTGGTTGAATTGGTGCATTTAAAATATTGGAAAAGTATTTGAATCCCTCTATAGACTTTGCTGCAACATCTGTCACTAATGAGGTATAGCAATTCCAATAAAGCCCTGTAAAGTAGTTTCAATATTGGTAATTATATCATTATAAAATCTCAGGTAAATACTGATTTATGTGGAGTGTGTGTGTACTATTTACCTATGTACAACACATTATTTTCCATAATATGAAAAAATGGTCATTGTGTTTTGCAAAACCATAAGAAACATCGCATCTCTACTAATGTGACTTACTATGTTAAATGTTTAATTTTCAATTTGTTCTAAAATATTACTTAGATATCTAATTTCTTTATTCAATTTGGCAACCCTACAGTGGGAAAAATAACTACTAATTTAACAATTCTGTTTCAGGTTAGTTGTGTCAGTTAATTTCACAATTTTATTTTACAGAGAGATAAGAGTTGGTATACAGTTAGAATAACATATATGTGATAACATGCTAAATACATTTTTGGAGCAAATACATCTACCAAAGAAAAATATATTTCATTAAAGGACACTCATTTTTATTAGGTGATTGAGTAGCTGGGCAGACAATAATTAAGAAACAAGACAAATACAAATTTACTTGAGAATATTGGTTCCTTCCAGTAAGTGCTGTACCATGTTCACTGTAAGTTTACCAGGGTAGTCAGTTGGAGAAAGTGTGTAGAGGTCTGTATGCTTGCAGCACAAACAAACCATATTTACAGAGTTTGATCTGTGTGTCGTAAGCACTTCTGTCTGTAGCATCTCACATCAGGAGTGTGAACTTTGGAACTTACAATTGCAGTGGGGATATGAAGAGCTTATTCATTTATGTCTCTCTGACACAATGACCTCTCCTTCATAAGTGTCTCACTTTATCTGGAGTAACCCTTTTTGCCTTACAGACAACTTTGTATCATTTTGGGGACACCAATTTTCTTTGGATTCATATCTGCATAATGTGTGTAAGTTTTCTTCAAGCCCTTACTTTCCACACTTGTCTTTCTACTTACAGGTTGTCTCTGTGAAGCAGAATATAGATTTTGTTGTTAATTGAAATATTTATTTTGCACTTGGTGTAAGTATTGATATATTTGGTCTTATACCTATCATCTTACCATTATTTTCGTTGAGCTGTTTTATGTTCCTGTTTCTCTTTGCTGAATTACTCATATTTTATTCTTCCATTTTTCTTTCCATAACCATGAGTTTATTTTTAGCAGGTTCCCTAGGTGTTAAAATATGTGTCCTTGTTCTTTTACAATTTAATACAATCATTAAATTCACTCTTTCCTTGCTAATGCTTGGATATTAGAAAACTTTAAGTCAACTCTTGAGCTAGATTACACAGGTTCAAGTGCCAGCTCTGCCCCTTATCAGCTGAATAATGCTGCTTAGCCTGAGTCCTTGAAATGGAAATCAGCAGAAAAGCAGGAAAACTGAAAGGCCAAGTGGCAGGTAAAAAGCTTTAGATATGGTATACTTGAGATGCCGGTGGCATACTCATGGACATGTGAATTACAATGTAGTCATCAACAGCACATGTTATGTTGGATCTTCAATGTCCTCTAAAGGTTTATGCGTTGATGGACTTAGGAGAAAATTAAGAGACAAGAGGAAAAATAGAGAAATAAAACAGAAAGAGACTTTTACAAGCAAGGCTAAAGGACAAAGGAAGATTATCGAAGCCTTGGGAAGCTAGTGAAGACAGGAGGGAAAGAACGAAGGAAAAAAACAAAAACAAACAATCAAGAAAAAAAAGCAAAGCAAAAAAAAGTTTCTGCTTTCCAGCCTGTGGTTATCTTCTGGAGGCTACAGTTTTGTGGGAGTGTCCAATTCATGGTGTGTCTTTGCTGTCACTGGTAGAACAAAGGAGGCAGACCAAGCCCAGATCTGTGCTGGATAATCCCTGCATGCCTACAGTATAGGGCTTGGTGCTGATTCTAGTGCTTTTAACTCCACAGCAGTTCAGGCTGATCCTGGCCTCTTGTGGGGTTGGGGCCGAGTTGTTTGGCCTATAACACTCTGGTGTCTCTTGCCAGCCTGGCCTCGGCTCCCTGACCCTGGATGTCTTCCACAGCTGTCCCTCACCCAGGCCCTGTGAAACTTCAACACTGGGAGTTCTGAGATGAAGCCAACCCACAACTGCACTGTGTTCCAGGTTCAGAGGGGCCCTCTCTAAAATGGCATCTGGCCAATCCCCTCCTCCAGGTGACACAGAGGATGCTGGGGCCACAGTTGCTCACTGGTTGATGTGGCTCACAGCATTCACTGCTCTGTTCCACTGGTGTGTGTCTTTCTGGAGGCCTCTGGGGTCACCTGCCCTCACCGTGTCACTGTACATTTGATCCTCCTCTCTCACCCTGTGAGTTTAGACCCCAGGAGAAAGTGCAGTTTGCCACCTCCTTTTTTCTGATGCTAACAAGTGTTAATCCTTCCACATTTCTTGCCCCAAAAAGGTCTCTCTTCACTTTCTCTGTGAACCTAAATTTTCCCTACACATCTTTCTTGTGTTCTGGGGATTCACTTCCCTCCTTTTTTTCCACAAGTTGTTATATTCCAGGGTCTGGAGTCCAAATCTTGGAGAGGTTGCTTTATTATTGTTTACTGCTTGGCTATCTTCCTGGAAGTCTGGTCCATTGTTTAACTGAATGTATCTCTTAGTTCTTCTTCGGAAGGATTAAACACTTTATTTGTGTTGGACAAGATGAAGCATTTGTACTATGCTGCAACAGTGGTTGCTGACATCGGAGAATTTGAATTTTAAAATGCAGTTCCCAAATATAATTTTTCTGAGCTACGATTTTGGGTGAGACTGTGTTTCAGTGTATGAGTTATTCAGATGAATTCTGCACACTCCGTCTCATCATGTGTCTCTTACCCTTCATTCGTTTTTATGGAAACTCACTCAACATACAAAAGTATACAAGTGTTCTGAGATTTGAGGCAACAAAAGTGGAAGGATTAACACTTGCTAGCATCAGGGGATCCTCTACTCACCAGGTATCAGTATTAACTGATGAACACACAAACTGATATATTAATTTCTTAGGGCAGCCATAACAAAATAGCACAGACTGGGTGACTTAAAATTTATTTTATAGTATTTTTAGAAGTCAGAAATCTAAGATTAAGGTGTCAGCAGGATTGGTTATTTTGACAGTCTCTCTACTTATCATGTAGGTGGCTACTTTCTTATTAGGTCCTGTCCTGATCCTTTATCTGCTGGGATGCAATCTAGCTGTCTCTTTGTATGTCCTAATGTCCTGTTCTTAGGCTGCCAATCGGAATAATTAGGGACCATTGATAATGATTTCCTTTTAGCCCAGTGATTTCCTTAAACGATGCATTGCCAAATATAGTCACATTCTAAAGTACTTGAGGTTAGGGCTTCAACATATGAATTGTTGGGCAAGATAACTGAAATATAACCTGGGGGTACTCTATTTCACTGGTATTTTAAGAGGAAAAAAGCAACCCTGCTAGAAGCAGCTAGAAAAATCAGTAGTAAAAAGTATCAACTTAGATCAAATGAGAGCTAGAGAGAACACATTAATAAATAAGGTTCACTAAATACTCAGTTTATGAGATTCACATATTATATATATATGTATAAATATATATATTTTTTACCTTATATACCTGGCTAGTGTGTGTGCATGCATGCATGTGTAATTTTTACATAGGTAAATTACTCATCACAAAAATTATTATCTACAAGGTAGTTATAACACCTACTTAAACGAGGTTATTTGGGCCCCAAATTTTAATCAAATTTTCAGCACTATCTGGATTATTAAAAACTTTACATTCATCAAATTGCAGCCATATAATAGAAAATAAGGGTATATAATTTAATCACTTTAAACAAAAAATTATTGAAGTAACTTACACCTTAAAAAAGAACCTTAGTAATCTGTAAGATTGTGCTACTTTCTGATAAATGTACTTTTTTTCTTTTTTTTTTTTTTTTGATACCAGGAATTGAACTCAGGACCTTGTGCTTGCCAGGCAGGTGCTTATGCCACTTAGCTATATCCCCAGCCCTAAATGTACTTATCATGTCAAAAAAAATGTTCAAAATTTAAACCTAATTCTATCTTTTGTTAAATAAAGTCTATTAAGAGTGAATGATAATATACAAGTTGTGGTGCAAATTCGTATGATGGTACAAGTATTCATCATCTTCCTTAAGTGATTAAGTCTGATAAAACAACCATACACATACATGTCCAAACAAATATGATACATTTGCAAAAATATTTCTTCCTGCAATGTAGTTTTTATGTAGTTTAGAATTAAAAATTGTCATATGAAAAATACAAATCACTAGCTAATATAGTTATATGCATAAATCACATTTCTCTTTAAATTATTTTGCTTAATTTTAACTTCTTGATACCAGTTTGATGAGCCACCAAGTAATTATTTTCTAAAAATCAAATATTTAAAAATCAGGGCCAATAATTAACTTTAGGTATGCAGAAATGAAAGCTAGAATGCCTAACATCTATTTATGCGGTATCTGAATACATTCATCCTCTAAAATAAAGTAATATACATCCTGATATACTTGGAAAAATTATATAGACACTTTGAAGTATACTTTAAATTCAAATTTTAATGAAAGAAAGAAATGGATAAAGAATTTATTTCACAATAACATAGCCTTCAACTTCTGAAAACAATAGAGAAAACAGCACATTCAAATGAATCTGTAAAACAATCTTAACTGTTACTCAAAATACATGAGATGTTATTTTTAGCCCTTATACTTGAAAAATGGAGACAATTGTTGAGAAAAGGAAGAAAACCAGAAGCTATTAGATTTTAAGCTTAAATTTCAAGAAAATTCAAGTAAAAAGCAGGTTAAAAACTCAGTAGACACTTTCCCACTGCTCAGCATCACCAAACATTAATTACCATAGGTCTTTTTCCATAAAAATATAAATAACATTATTTATTAGAAATAATAGTTTAAAATTAGTTTTTCTTCCAGGATAAGATTTCTTGCTTCAAAGGAAGTTTCACCAGGAGTGCATCTTAGAACAACTGCCCTGCAGCTTTATTTATTTAACTCCAATTTATTTTGATTTAAAGAATACTCTTACTCATGGTAAACAATTTTTACCCCTACCCAATGAAATCAGAATTTTATAGTAAAGAAAACCACAGAACTTAATAGCACATTACTTTTCTCTGATTGCAGTAACCAAAGGATGGGCTTTTGTACACGGAAAAATTCTGATAAGAAAAACACCTAACAAATAGGAAAAAATGTGAGGGATAAAATTTAGTTCCATAAAATAGTTTTTAATATCAAAGCTCATCAAACTTAACACAATTTGAATGAAACTGTTGAAAAGTGCTGCCCATAATATAAGCTATAAAATATTATTGCCCGTCTTAGAAAAATCTCCAATTTTGTAGGTGTCTTTATATGGAAACACAAATAGATGGCCTTGTTATTTTCCTAATTATAGGCAGCATACCAGTGCTTTACTAAAACAACGACAACAAAAACCCCAAAACAACCACATGGAATGCGAACTGCTGGTCAGGAAATGTGTAGTAGATAGACATTAACTATCCCCTACCCCAACATGGCCATGTGTTAAGCACTTCCAGTTAGTTCTGACAAGGCAGAGAAAGACATTACAACCTCATGTAAAAAAAAATTCAAATAAAAAACATTAAACATCAAAACAACAGCAGCAAAAAGATCACGTAATGATGCATTTTGTTCGTACCAAAAACAGAGTTAGGAACTCAAAACCTCGCCTGCCTACAGCAACAGTGCACAAGACATCCGCGCCCGGCCCATGCCCCCAACCTCTCCAGTGCAGTGTATGTTTCCTCTCAGCAGCCACTGACAAACAGCTGGGGTGTAGTGAATGTACAGTGCGGCTCATTCACCGCCGCCATAAACAAGAACAGCCAGTGCCACTATTCTGGTTGGTTGTCTGAAAGCTCCTGAGGACATGCTTAGACCCTGGATGTTTTTCTTAACAAGCAGTTTTTCCTTAACAAATTCTGGTCCTTAGTGAACTAGAATGAATCTTAGGTCACTTCCTTGGATGGTAGAGCATACGTTAACTTTTCTTCTTTTTAAAAACTCAATGTTACCCGTTAGCCACTAAAATAAATTCTCCCCCTTTTCTACTCACTCCCTTTCTTTTCCCTCCTGCGTACCCCATGTAAACCCAAAAACATATGGTAACTTAATATACAAGTTTTCTCAAAGTGCAAAATATGTTACAGATAGTTTCATAGGCTTTATTTAAACACAGCATTTTATACAATACAGTACAGTCTGAGACCTCTGCTCATAAGTTACCCACTTAGCAGACTACTTTAAAAGGGTTGACCACTTAGAGTAACGCGATGCTTTCTTACACAAAGTTAATACAATGGAACTTTACAAGTTTTGTTCAGAGCAAAACGAAGTTTATCTTACACTTAATCACATATATATACATATTTTAAAATGCTCTTTAAATGTTTAAGTTTAGATAGACACACTTCTTAAATAGAGACAAGTCTGCCTCCAAACTTAGGAATTATTTCATAGTCTGGTTTCTGCTTTACACATACTGTATACAATATTTAAAAAAAAATTGTGGACCAATTCATTTTATTTCTTTGTTCAAAATCCGTTCACTTTGTAACTCTTTAGGCAGGGTTCTTGACCGCTGTAAAACCACACTAAGTTCTTCAATTACCTTTGACGGCAGTTTATGGTCTGAGTCCAGAGCAGCTTTGCTGCTCTTGTCTTCGGTCTTCTTCAACGCCTTTAGGCCCTTCTGGCCTTTCTGTTGCCCCTGTTGGAGCTCGGCCTCTGTGTCCTCCAGACAGACGAAACTCCGGTGTTTTCTGGTCCGATCTCGAAGTCTGTCCTCCTTGTGCTCCAGGCACTGGGCCACGATGGAGGCCCGGTCCTTTAAGCTGGGTTCCATGGACTCTTCCCTCCCATGCTTTTCACTGAGCCGCAGCCTTTCAAGTTCTGCCCTCGCACTCTAAAAATAAAAGAAAATAAAATGTTTTACAGGAAAGCACGGTTTGGCAAAAATGGATGTTTAAAAAATACATTCCATGTAACAGTTGACGCTTCCTGTACAAGAGTTTATTTCCGTAATGTAGGTTCTAATTTTACTTTGGCATAAGTGGCATATCTGAATTTATATACTAGCGCTGGAGCTGCAAAATCGAATGAAATGCACATGACAGAAATTCACTTTAACATGCGTTTAACATAGTGCTTCAAAGATGTCTTTCATGTTCGTTATTCAGACTGACTCTCATTTCAAACCACCCTCTTCCAACTCATTTCTGCTTTCTGTGTGACATACGTGCATTCAGCCTTAGTTTGAAAAGAGTTGTACACAGAGCCCTGACGAAAACAATGTTCTCCTTGGCTGCATGAGCCAGGAACGTGCTCTGTACAGCCCTCTCCTTGAGATTTGTAACACCTAATAACGATGCTCAGAAGTACTAAGGCAGAGAAATCTCCTTCACTCCTTTTCCGTTTTATTCTTCCAAAATTTCTAACTAATAAAACCTTTCTCCTACATAATCCCAATTAAGATTCTCTGAGTATAGTTTTTAAAACATGAGAATACGTTAATGCCTGCTTTTATATTAGTGGATTAGAGTTCACACTCGCTCTGTGAACTGTCAGTACCTACAAGAACTAGAAGTAGACTGCAACGTAACACCTGCGGTGGAATGAGGTGGACTTTTAAAAGCAGTATGCAGGACAAGCTGTGGCTGGGGGATATCTAGAGTACAGACTTTCCTTGGTTTCTCAGGGATCACAACTCAGAATAGAATACGGCTTTACATATCACAGTAACAGTTTTCACGGCTCTTCAGCAGAAAGGCTCAGACACAGAGTTTAGGGGCCCAGTACTAGTGTACAGAATCCTGAAATTTTAGGTACACCGTGAAGTTTAACATCAGCCTAGATGATTTATAAGCCAGGGTGAAGGTGAGGACGAAAGGGAAAAGTGATCTGTTAAAAGTGAGAGTACAGGGTAAGGAAAAAGCAAGTATAGGAAACCAGGAGTGTTTTACATGAATAATACAGTGTGGGCTGGAGAGGGTTACTGTCCTTAAATGACAAGGTTTTAATTTAAAGAGCAAGACAGATAAAGTGTAAAACTAGATGAGCACAAGGTGGCTTGCTCCAGGCAATGCCAATCTGTGTCGCAGCGGAGAAATGGTGCCTATCAGTCCCAGCTGCGGAGCGCCGCTCTTTCTGTCAGAGCTGAAGTAATGGGCAGTGAACGCATCATCAGAGCAAATCACTCACAAGGTTTTAGTCTCGGCTCTTACATGTTTCCCATTAAATCCAGAGATGTGGACCAAGTCTCGTGATCAGAAAAACATGACCAATGTATACAGATTACATTAGAAATTCTTCTAAAGTGCTTTTACTATTGAATTTACTAATTAGCTGATCATCTCCATGGTAGAAAACGCAGAACCGTATCACTAAATTTAATCCTAACACTGCCTGGAACTTTATATGATCATTCACAGTTGTTATACTTTATGATGCAGAAATACAAACTCAGGAAATAATCTCTGAGGTCACATAAGAAAAACTTTTGAAATAAGAGGCTAGAAATACCCAAAGAAATAATTTGTCTTAAATAACATAGGAGAGTTCAGAATGCAAGGCCATGGGGTGTGGGGTGGCATCCAGTTCCCAGCCTCGTCCCTGGTCTTTTCGAGATGGGTAGTGCAGGGAATACAGCTTCCTACTTCACTCGTGGCCTTATGGGAGTAGGAAGCGCGGGGTGTGCTGGGGTTGTGTCCAGTGCTGTGAACAATGCCTCAGAGTAGGCACTAAGAGAGCCGGAGGGTGGTCCAGAATCCTGCTGGTGGTTCCAGGAGTGGCCAAGCATATCTGTGTTAATTAACTCTCCAAATGGCTCCCAATTCCTGGGCCTGCCAGGTGCCTGCTACTCTCCCCTCTTGCTACCAGAATGTCTGAAGGAGTGCTTGCATGAAGATGTCCCTAGGGAAGTCCACAGCCCTGCAGAGCTGAGACCTGCACCTGAAGTGCCTCGTGAGCCTGGGAACTAGCCACCTTCAGAGTTGGTCTGATGTGGAGGAGGTTGGGGAGGGTCTTATGGAGACACTGTTGCAATGTGTGTAAGGAAGGATTGCTCAGAAATCATCACCCTGGACTGTAGAAGAGGGAAGCCCAGGGACCAGGTACCTCTGTACACTCGAGGAGGCCAGGCCCAGATGGGCGGGGCGATGGGACCCTTGCTGCGGCACAGCCTGCTGCAGGCTCTGGGTTACTCCTTTGTAGTGGCTCTGTTCCCATGAGGCTCCTCTGGAGCAGCCACCGCAGAGAGCAGAGGCTGGGCAAACACAGCCATGTCCCTGGTTGGCGTGTACTATCAACTCGCTGATGCCCAGGTTTGGGCTTCGCTCCCCTTGCTTAATGCCATGCCAGTCAGCCCCTGAGCTGCAGGCAAGCCTGCGTCATGGACTGTGAGATTTTCAGGGCTTCCACAGAAAGGGCCAAGCAGCTAAAACAGTTTTTTCTTTTTTAAAGATATTTAGAGCAGTGCTGTTTACTAACAGATACAAAAATATTTTGATCTGACAACTGTATTGAGGACTGTAACCTAAGATGCCATCCCACAACCTGCACAGGCCAGAGCAAGGAGTCCTCCTATGGCCATGTCACTGGCGGTAACCTGCATCTGCATTCTTGCCTTCCAGTCACCATGTTTAAAAGCAGGTCAGGTCCTTGTCTGTTGTCCTGGCTGTGCTACACACTTCCGCCTCTGCTGGGAACTTAAGTACCTTACAGGGGTCCAGCAATGAGCCTATAAAGGTAGAGAGTTCACTGCCAAAGGCAAAGCACCTGCCCCTCCCAAGTGTACACCACCCACCACCACACAGGCTTTGGATTTCCAAAAAAAATTTTGTTTTCATGCGAACTCTGGATTTTCAAATAACTGATAAATTTAACCTCTCATCAACACTCTGATAATCACACCAAGTAGTTTTGAGGGTGTAAAATATTCACCCTAGGCATCACCTTAGTTACTCACTAAGTCCAGCCAAACCTCTTATAAACACATTTCTCTTCTATTCATAAAAGTAACACAGCAAGTTTGCAAAGGCAGAAATTGGCCCAGTGAAAACGAAGTCTTCCTCTAGCCATGGAACCCAAGGGCAAACTCAGCAATTTCTTATAGGTCCTTCCAGGTGTGTGTATAAATCTATTTACAGTCAGCACCAACTTGCCAGCCATGGAAGTGGGCCACCTCTAAAGCCAGTCCTCAGACTCAGTGAAGTCCTCAGATAACTCCCGAACCTCTAGCTTTCCAGCTCTGGGTGCAGTTACGATAGAGCAGAGATAAGCTGTCCCTGCTGTGCCCTGGCTGAGGTCCTGACCACAGAAGCTGTTCCGTTTTAAGACACAGAATGACACACACACACACACACACACACACACACACACACACAGTTTGAAATGGGAGCTCAGATTGGTTTTCTGAAAGTGACGTGCACCTTTCCAGCACACCCAATTGCTCCAGGATAGTAAGGGACAGATGGATGGGTTATTATTATTATTTTCTGTTCAACTGTACCAGTCCTCTTTGTTCATTATTTTACAGAAGTCATTTAAAAAGGAATGGCTCCCTCCACCTTTTTGTCCTTTGAGAGAGGAGCTCACTGCGTTGCCCAGCGTGGCCCCCAAGGCCGAAATGGTCTTCTTGCCTCCGTCTCCCTAGAAGTTGAGGCCATCAGTGGGAGCCACCACACTCAGCTGCTCATGGCAGTTGTGAAAGCTGGTGAATTGTCCTCCATGTTCTTTATCATTTTGTCCCAGTGTACGTTAATGACATGTCAGATGTAATTATACTGCATTCTCAAGTATAATTATTTAATCAGCACAACAACCCTACAATGTAGAGGCTTTTATTCACTCCACGTATTTACCGATGAAGAAGCTGTAGACACAGAGTTGAGGCAGGTTTCCAGATTTTACAGAAACGAAGCACCAACAAGTAGTATGTAGCTTGTGCATTCTTCAGCATTCTGTCCGCCTCTTATGTGATTTCTTCTGCCAACAATTTACTTTCCTGGCTTATTGAGCGAGCTCCCTCCTAATTACCTAATTAGCTTTATAAGTCACTTCCTTCAGGAAGCTTTTTGAGGTACTTTCACACAACTTCCAAAAGAACCTTAGGAAAGCAAGGCCAAATCAACACATTTCCCAGTCTGCCAAGAACTTGTCTGAAAAATTTTCCTGAACATATCCCTCGATATGAACGTATTTCTGTTATGAATGCATCTCACTTAGTGATCTTAATTTCTACTTTTATAACATAGGATCAAACGTGGGTAGTCATCTTATATTTTATTATTTACATTACTCTAATTCTATAGTGAAAATTTCAATGGTCTATACGAAAAAAAATATTTTTTATTAATTTTGCTTCAGTGCCTTTTCAAATGTTTCAATGACTTCCCAACACTGGGGCACCATATTTGTCAAGTCACTAAATCTCATTTACCAAATTTACAAAAACAGTTTAGCTTATTTTAACTCACACATGTGCCAGCAATGAACATGGCACGGACTTGTTGTAAGAGCCTGTAACAATTTCTGAACACAGCAATTTTGAGACATGGGATTCCTGGAAAGACTTTAAAGTAGCAGCCTGAAGAAAAGCAAGCAGCTGCAACTTTGGGGGATGGAAAGGGAGAAGTAAATCCAGCTGTTACTTAAGGGAGAGAGTCCCTGCAGGCCGAGATAAGACGGCAGGACGACCAGAAACTGAGAACAGCAAAGACGGTGAAGGACAGAGCCCAGGACTGACCCTAAGGTTTGTTATACCTTCTTTATAATGCATTTTATAATAAAACTCTGCCTGATGGGAACGTAACACATTTTGAGGCACATCTGGAGCCATGCTCAAACTCAGGCCTGCACACTAGCTACACAACACCCTGTCCAGAGACCACTGCCCTTTTTGGGGAAAAATATGAATAATTAATGCAAATTTGGGGGGATCCTACAATAATGGAACGTCTCCTCTGTTGGCCACTCTCCATCTATGGGGCAACTGGCTTGATATTTGTGGGCTCTTTCTGCCAACGGGACAGCCAGCCTTGTTTCCTGTCCGGTTAACTTTCCAGTTAATGCTTTTGTCTGGAAATCTGTACTGCCGCCTCAGTGTTAAGTTCCGTTATCACTGAAGTAAGGACCCAGGCTAGGTAGCAACATCTTCAGTTTCCTGACCTTAAATATGTTAAAAGATTTAACTCTAAACTTGTGGATTTGAGATCAGGTAATAAACTAGTGGATATTTAAATCATCTAGGTGGAATGTTGGTTAAAGAAGTTTGAACCTAAAAATCGATCTTTTGCTTTTCTCCGTAGCTGATCATAAGGCAGTGTCAGCATGCTCTGGGCATATGTATTCCCTACATTTCCTTTATTGGTTCTACCTGTGTTACCTGTCCTGGGTTCCTGTGGAACGTGACTCAAGAATTTTAAGATTTTTAGATTAGTTAACGAACTTATAATTTTGCAGAATGGTTTATTAGCAAAAACTGTAGGTGTGGTATGGACAGAGGCACAAGGTCGTTATTTCTTGGGGACTACTCTTTCCTGTGATTATACCAGGGGCGCAATATCAAGTAGGGGAAACAAACACCATTAGTTCTGAAGCCTTTGTATTTAGAGATGGAGTTTTTTTCAGTGGGATAAATGTTCAGTCACATTTCCATGCATGGGAAAATATCTGAAAAATGTGATTACTTGATTAAAGTATCCTTAGTCTTCTAAAGGATTACTTGATTAAAGTATCCTTAGTCTTCTGCTTGGAAAGCAAAAGATTCAAACAGCTTCATCCCAAATTTACGATCAAAGAAGATATAACACCTTTTAAATGCCTGTCTTTCTGCTTTGAGGGACACAACAAGACTGACACTACTTACATGCTCCTACTCCAACAGTGAGAAAGAAAATAATATCCTTTATGACCAGTGTGAACTGACGCTCAGAGGTCTTCTTGTCATTCCTTAAATTAAGATACCCTATCATTTCCCAAACAACTGGAACTTACTTATGTCTGTAGAAAATCTAGTTATCATGGCTCCAGACATTTTCTGCCATGGAAACACTACTTTATAGTGTTTTAATAAATTTTTAAGACTAATTTGAGACTTACTTTACCACCAGAATTTCTGTACAAATACTTAAAATTATTTGGCTACTTTAGAGATAAGGAAATAAACGATACTGCATATGTGTACATGGGCAGGCAATGGCGCTAAAGTAAACGATGTGACGTTATTCATTATGCTTTCTTGATGTATAGGATTACTGCGTTCTTCAAAGTGATCATTATTATTGTGTTTGAAGTTAGGGAAGTGATTAACACTTTTAGTCATGTTAAGACATAGGAAAACAGATGCTTTAAATTAATATCAGACAAACGAAATCCTAACCTACCTCAATATTTCTCCGGGCTTGGGTTGCATTTCTTTCATGCTGGATGGGAATTAGAGGTAAACCTCCAATTTTGGGATTTTTGGTTATTGAACGCTTTCGTTCCTTTCCAGCTGGTGGCCATATATCATTTTCATGCTGTGGAAACACAATTTCACGCTGTTGGTGTGTGATTTTATTATGTGGTACACCATGGTAGTCACTTGGCTCCTTTTCTGTGTACCACATCAAATGATGTGCTTTCCATGAGAGGGCCATTTGTAATTATGATGTTGACTCTGGCAGCGACATAGCTCGAGGACGTGAAACTCTTAAGTGAACTGAGCTTTTGAGGTCTCAGTTCAATTTCTAAGTTTCAAATACATGCCTTCTATACTACTTATCAAACCAAACGGGGGAGAACATTGGAAGAAACTGGCAGATCTCTTTGTGAAAGAAAAACTAATGCATTTGTCTACATTTCTGGGCCTTATAAACAAAATAACTATACATTTATTTTTTCCTCACACCAAAGGTGATTTTAATGTAAAAATAATTTGATCTTATATATCCCAAATCAACCTAAGGCATGGCTATCAGAAAAATGAGCCTTCTTTTATGACCTTTTGAAAAATGTTACTTTTTCATCTAATTGAGTTCCAAAGAAACGTTACCTTTTTATACATACATTTATACTGAAAATCACTGCACAACAGAGTATGGTATATTTGTTCTCAAATTATTGACTACATAGTCTGTCCCACTAAACAATTATAGATATGACTGGAGAAAAGTTAATTTTGCAATGAGGGATAAATGTCCAGAGGTAAAAATACAAGCTTTTGAGTGATTAATCCTGGAGATACACATATTAAAGAAAAACACTTAAAGAATTTTTCTACTCCTCAGGCTAGATTAACTTTTTAAACGTTGGGAAAGCAAACTAATCTTCAGACAACAATCTATGAAAGACATACAGAATACCAAGTATAAAAAGAAACTTACAGATATTTTGAAGTAAAAACCATTCAGTAAACTGTGTAGCTGAACTCTACTCTGTATTTTCCTCAATTTTTAATATATTTCAACGAATTCTTATTCTTTTTTCAGTTAGCATTTTAAAGTATTTTTCTATAGCAAATAATTTCTAAACATATTTACTGAATATTACATAAAAGTAGCTAATTTAATATTGAGGGGCATACTGCCAGGTTTTGAGCTTAGGAATTACTTATTTCAATCAACTTTTAATAATCCTTCAATGTAAGTCTTATTATTAGTAGACTTTCTGTACAATGTATACTCCTGAATTGTAGAGGAGTATTTATTTTGATTCAGCAAATATACAATGATAATATACTTACTTTTCACCCAGAAAGAGAATTACAAGCATCATGGTGCTATTTGCATGTTATGGTCTCAAACATAAAAATAATTTAGTATTATAATAAGATATAGTTCTTTGGATGCTCCCAACATGTAAAGCTGAGAGAAAATTGGCTAAAACAAATTAGGCAATTTTTGTGAATTATTTTGTACACTTTCAAATCACTGATATATGGTGCATATCACATGATATTTTGGGAAAAGCAGAAATCTCTAGGTCTAAAAAGTATGTTCTACTTTAGTACTTAGAGTTGCTGGGAAGTGTAGGAAAAAAGGCAACAGAGCAGTAATCATACAGCTCAGGAATCACACAAGCCATGATTAATTCCGAAATCTCCACTTTCTACCAATGGCCTGCCTTTTCAGCTGCATTAGTTTGATTTCATTCACTGTAAATATTCTTTTGATTCATTCAGACGATTGGACCCTCACCACCACCGTTCTTCTTTTCACTTTTTTCTTTTGCCTTTTCCTTCCTTGCCTGGCTCAGATTTTAGGATGAAATGAATAAACTCACTTCCTTGTCAACTGTCTCATTGTCTGTCTTTTTCCCCCTCCATCTCTTTGCAAAATCCTCAATCTCGTTAGTCATAATTCTACTTGTGCAACAGATGCCTGTTAGCAGGTGGAGGAAACACAAGGAAGATTATTCTATTCATTCATCTCATTTTAAGTTTAACCTTAAATTTCAAGTGGAGCAGTCAGCAGCCCCTTAAAGCGCTGCCACAGGACAACTTAAATCCTCACTCTGCAGATTATTTCTCACCATTTCTAACAGCCTCCCTTTCCTCAAAGTCAGAAATTTACTGATTTAATTCAACAAATTATTATTAATCACTTAAGAATATAATTTCCCCACCAGGAAATGCACCAATCTCCCTGTGTGCACAGCCATAGATGTCAGCTTTCTCTTCTTCGCAAACAGCATTTGCTCTGACTACATATAACCTTTGCCCAGTCATATTTACAACTGCCCTGTGGACCAGAGTATGTAACCAATAATTTGAAAACCAATGGGCTACACTTTCGGTTGAGTAACAATTCTCACCAATAATGGACAATTATTTTGTCACAGTTTTGTCACATTGCTGCAAATCTACTCAAGATCTCTGATGGTGTAAAAATCTCTCCTGCTCTCAATTTATTCTTCCGATTGCACTGTCTCCATCAATGTCTGTGCAAAATACACACTCTCCATCCTATGTTAAAACCCCAAATCTCCCTCACCTCTTGGTCCTTCTCAGCTGTAACCTCATTATTATCACAGCACATCACTACTACAATCTTCTGTGCTGAGCTGTCACATGGATTTTCTCCTTCCACAACGTATATTTCTTTTGTTGTTTGCTAGTCTGCTTGATGTTTAAAATTTGGAATATCCCAAGGCTAACTTGAAAGCTCCCCTATCTCCCACCATCCCCATCCCTCCTGCCATCCAGCCAGTCTTACAGTGTAAAATATAATCCAAATGTGGACTCCTCTCAGATCTCCAGTTCCACCTCACATTCTGAGTTTTGATGCAACCCGGTACTCAGGATGTCCATTTGTATATCCATAAGGGGTCTCACATTTATTGTGACCCTCAATTTTCTCTTACTCCTCTGATACCTCTCAGGTGAAAAAAAAACTAGGGTTCCCCCGGAATTCTCTTTCATTTCTCAAACTCCTGCAGCTAATCAATTCAAAAGTCTTACTGGCTCTACCTTCAAAATATTCCTGAATCTGAGTTGGTCTTATCATACCACTGTCATCCTTGTCTGAACTGATACCTCCTTCTGCCTCATTCCTCTTCCTGCTTCCATCTCAGACCCCCTGCAATGCAGCCTCAACAAAATAACCTCAAGTGTTTTCCAACTAAAGATTTTGTCCTTCTCTTATTTCAAGTTCTTGAACAGGGACTACAAGATCTGTCCTCCGCCTTCCTCATCTCTGGTTTCCTCCCTCACACAGTCCTTCAGGTACGTATGAATAAACTGAGATCATCACACGTGGCCCTCCTGGCTCCTCCCTGAGAACAACCCCTCCTCAATACTGGGATGAGTCACCTCTCTGCAGACAGATCTCAGCTCCCGTGTCACCCACGCAGGAAACCACTGCCTGAGAGCCTCATCAGTAGTGTCCTTTCTCCCCACAGCCACAATCTCTCCTTTCCCAACATGTCACAGTTATCATTTCATCACACTGATGTCCACTTGAAATTTTATTATTTTCTTGTTCTATTTTAGAAATAGTGAGTACGTATTTTGTAAGACAGGGGCTACAACGGGCAGATATACACATGAGTTGAGTAAGAGTCCTACTCATGAAGATTACTTTTTAGTAGGAGAGGAATACATGAAGTAACTAATACAAATATGTTTTTAATTGGTGTTACAATGGAGAAACGTAGAGCTCTAGGGTTCTAATGGTCTGAAGATTAGGGAACGTTTCTCTAACAATAGGATATTTAAGCTGAAATTTAGGGGACTTGTGAAGTAAGGGTGAGGATGGGAATAGATATTACATTTTTCTGGGTACACTTACTACTGATTAGTGTGGAAAAGCATTTAGTACTATTTTGCTATTTTCCTATGGGGATGAGCTATAAACCCTTAAATCTAGGAGGGCCCCTGTATTTGGCTTAGTGGGGGAGTTAAAACAGTGCCCAGCACTAGAAGAACAGAAGAAAGATAATCAGGCTATGTCATTAGGACCAGGACAAGCAGGGAGCAATGCCTTGGTCATGAGAACAGTCTCTGCTTCCCATCTATTCATTTTTTGAGTTTCAACCACAGGGTGTACTGATCTCAAGTATAAAAACAACAAATATTAGTTTAGTTGTGCCACAAACAATTTAATCTCTTTGACTACATGGTCCCAATTTATTAAAGTATTTCAAGGTTTTTTAATTTTTGCTTTTTACATAGAATTTGAATATCTGATTTTTTTTTAAAGCAGAAAAAGTGTCTAAAAAGCAGTTAGTCTTTTTCTGCAAATGTATTCCTCAGCAGTAACAGCAGAGACAGGCTGAGGAGAGCCATGTTTATTAACCACTGGTAAGGTTAATAAATTAAATGAACAGAGAAAATAGTTTTCAAAACAAATAAGGACTAGAATTTGGGGTGAATTAACTTCTTTCTTGTAAGAGAAATAAGAAAGTACCTCCTCAGTAATAAAGAGTGGCAACTTAATTGCTACCAATGAATTTCAATGCTCTGTGCGAAGCACTGTTGGGAATTCAGCCAGACAAGGTTGGGAAAGAAACCAATCCTATTAATGGGACTATTTAACCCGGCCCTGAAAGAGTGAGTCCTTCTCTAGGGAGGAGAATACATGGGAAGTTGGGCATATGTGTTGGTCTTAGACAACCCTGGGTTTAAATCACTAACAGAACGGTCTTAAGTGAACAATGGAACATCTGACTTTAAAGTCAAAGGGTATTACATACCTCTTGCTACAAGGAATACGTGAGTTGACTTCCATGAAGTATCAGTACATGACAGGTATTAAAGAAATGTAGAGGTCAGTCTTTTCTGAAAAGGCAGAGGTGAGGAGAGTGGGAGAACAAGAGAAGAAACAGGACACTCTTCTGAGTGACGATCTCTGTGGGACTTTGGCACGATGGCAACTTAGCTAAGTTCCTCCTGCCTATGCTGCCACCTTCAAGTAACTCACCATTCCTAAGCCGAGGTGCTACTTGGCTGGCAAAAAGAAAAGGAGACTAGAAAGGAAGAATTGATTCTCTTTAAAAGGCTAATGGGTAACCCGGATTTTTATGTATTAAATAAAAGCAACATGAGAATGAAAGTTTTTTGAAGGGCAAAGTGCGAGTGATGTAGCTCTGTAGTACAGTGCTTGTTTAGCACGGAGGCAGCCTTGGGCTCAATCCAAAATAAAACAAAAATTCTTTGAGAATCACTGCCGCAGTAAGACTTGTTATAAACAAAGTTTTATATTTCACTGGATAGCTGGAACAGATATCATACCTGGGCAATAAAGATACTGGCCATCCACTCCATCTGGGTCTGTGAACTATCACAACACAGGTGCCTGCAAAACAGTGTTTATACAACAAATGATTCAAAAAGACAACTGGCTAATTGCTGCTGTATTTACTGGTGATTTAGTGACCAGAAAACTTTTTGGGTTTCTTGTAGTTTATAGCTTAATGCAATCAAATTGAACATTTTGGTACAAGTCGTTTTAGTTTTAGTCTAAGAAAACAGTACCAAAGCAATTATAAATACGCTGGTTTCAACAAACCTCACAAAAGGCTTTGAGAACTGCTGCAAAATGAGCCATATTTTTGGAAAGGCAAAAAGCTCAGTGTCACATTACTTTTTCAAATACATGAGAGTAAATAAACATTTTTCCCCCGGCAACTCTGAGCCCCTCAAGAAAAGAAAGAAAAACGTGTGCAATTCCCATAATAGCAGATTTTTTAAAAGGCTTAGAAATAATCTCCATCACTATGATTATAAACACCAAACTCAAAAAATAAACTACGTGAAAAAATGCTACATATCTAATAACACTGATTCGGTAATCTTCTATTGAAGCTCTTAATTAAACTACAGATCTTGCCCTCGAGGTTTGGTTAGCCTGTTAGAGAAGCTGGGCTTGTAATGAATAAACTGTAACACAGTAAGGAAAAGCAAAGAGGAGCTGAGTACACACAGAGAAACAGCAGGTGCAGGGGAAGGGAGATGAGATGAGGTTGTTTTCTATAAAAGTAAAATTTGTAACTGATGTCAGAGTAAAATAAAGAACATTTCAATGTAACTATATATATATATATATATATATATATATATATGTAATTTTTTTTTTTGAGACAAAGTTGCACTATGTACTTCTGGCTGGCCTTGAACTCACTCTGTAGCCTAGGCTGGCCTTGAACTTGCAGTGATCCTCTTGCCTCAGCCTCCTGAGTGCTGGGATTACAGACCCGCACCACCTTGCCTGGCTCACTATAACTATATTCTTATATTCCCATATTAAACATAATTTAGTCGGTAAAGTATCTAAAATTGCTTTTTTTCATTAAATTTTTCACAAAATCATTGTCTTCTCATTACTCTGTCCAAAAAAAAAAAAAAAAAAAAATCTCATGTACATACGCATGTACATAAAAAAACCACAGAGGAAAGTAAGTAATGACCAGATGTAGGAGTGATGGGTAAGACTTTACGGGCATATGAGCTCTTGTTCTGAAGGAGAAAGACAGTCTGCTGGCTCATAAGGGAGAGTCTGAAGGCGATGCAGAAGGAAACTGCATACTACAGAAGAGAGAGCAGTGAAAAGACCAAATGTAACATAGGCACGAAGTGGCAAACTGAAGACAGCTGCTCTTCTGTCCTTCGGCCCTAAAGAGAAACCTGAGGGAAACAAAGCTGATGGAGTCACACGCAAAGGGCTGTGCACGCCGTAGTAACAATGCTGTAATGTGTCCTATATGTGACAGGACGCACAGAACAGTTTTAAAGCAGGAGAGAAGCATGATGCACTGGAGAAAAGTCTCTCTGGCAACTGGATGGAGAATATGGTACGAAATTAATGCGAAGTCAGAGCACGAAGAGCACATAAGGTGTCTGGAATAACTCAGGTAGATAAAAAGGGCTGGTGAAGGGTTCAGAGGCAGAGGTGGGTGAGGAGATAAAAAAGGCAGATCAAGCATGATTTGGCAGCTGGACAGATACAGGTAGGCAAGGATGGAGACAGTAAAATCTCTAGGAGAGTGGTGGGATGTGGATGACACCTGTAAAAAAGTACATACATAGACAGAATGGGTTTAAGACTGGGATGCATTTTCTTTTTAACGCTACTTTAGTTTCTCATACATTTAAGAGAACTGAATTGTACCTACTTATCTCCTAAAATGTGGATTTCACAACCATATACTATTCTGGAAGAAATGAGATACAGCTTCTCTTAAGAGGCACTGCCAAAGAGGATATGTGGGGTTGAAACAGACCTGGACCCTGATATAAATCTTCTTTCATCTTCTTAGAGTATATTTAGAAGATAATTTCCCCTAGGCAAAGTATTTTCTGTCTATATTTCTATCTGCTAAATAATGAAGTCTTTTTTATTTTTTTTGAGACAAGGTCTCGCTATTTAGTTCAATCTGGCCTTGAATTCACTATGTAGCCCAGTCTGGCCTCGAACTCTCAGGGATCCTCCTGCCGCAGCCTCTCAAGTGCCAGGACTGCAGGTGTGTGCTGCCATGCCTGGCTGACGTCATTCTTTTACTCAAGTTCTCCCCAGTGTATCAAATCTGAAAACTGCCAGCTAAGAACTTACCAGTGATGTTTTTCAGAATATGCAGTCAATCCCCAGCTGCATCACATAGAAAGAAACACAAAAGCAGTACATTAAAAATGATAATTTTTACAAGACTAAAAAACAGGATTAGATGTTAAGGAAATAGGATTTCATGGTGGGAATGCAGAATGGAACAGATTTCCACAAGGGATGGTTTAATAGGTTTGGTGTATCCAGAAGTGAACACTAAAGGACATAGCTACACATTTACACAGGCTGAAGGGCAACAGAAAAAAACAGCCTTGCAACCTTATGGGCACAAGGTAGGTGCGGATGATACTCTTGATGGAGTCCTCTGGGTTGGATGCGGCTTGTTCCTCCTGTCCCTGAAGGTCTATTAGTGGAGAGTTTGCTCTCCACTGTGGTGAGCTGGGAGGCAAGGGGACCTTTCAGAGAATGGGGCCTACTGGGAGGATCTTGGATCATTCGGGGTGTGCCCTGGGAGGGAATTAGAGCACTTCACACACGAGCCCTTGACAGTTCTCATGAGAAGGTTGTGATAAAAGCCTCAGGCTGGCTCCCTGGGAGCTATGATTACTAGCACCTACACACATACCCATGCATTCCCACGCTGTGCTGTACCTAAGAACTGAGCCCAGGCAGGCGCTGTACCTTGGAACCTCAGAAACTGTGAGCTCTCCCATTTTTATAAGTATCTGTCCTTACTTAGTCCACCAGTCACCTGTGAGTGACCAAAAGTAGCCTGTCTTATGCATATCACTGTGGTAACACAAAGTTAATACAATAAGGACAAATGTCTACAAAAGTTACTGAATTATTTTCATAATAATTACAGCACATGCTAATTGCAAAACAGATACATGTCCTTGGCAAGAAGTATGGAGGACAAAGTAAAGAAATTCACAGTATCAGAATCACAGCAGGGCACAGAGCTGCTGATGTTTCCCGATACTAACAAAAGTCCTGTACTAGTGTGATTAATTAGCACATGGGAGTGATTTATCAGACAAAACTGTGGTATTAAATGAATGTTGGCGTGACCAAACGTTAAAGAGGCACACAACACATCAGCAGGATAGGTCCACATTCTCTGCAGCATCGGATGCTGTGTGTTTAGTACCAACTTTGGTAACAAAAAGGGCAAATTACAGAGCCATTTCCAAAACATTCTACGAGTCAGGGATCGCGAGGCTGGAGGGCAGCACTGCCTTTGGTACGCAGTCTTGCTTCGAACAGGGATGCCCCAGGGCAGCGCTATTCCAATCAAAAAGTGGTTGACCAGAACTCCTGTGCTCTGCTCACAGGACCTTCTGAGGACTTCTTGCTTTGCACAGGGAAGATAATAATCACCAAGGAGTGTGATTGGTCTGAGTGGGAACATCATTCCTTATCTACTCTCAAAGTGCTTTGTTTTGCCACAGTTTAGGCAACTTAAAGAATTTGTCTAAAGCTTGCTCTGTAAAAAGTTAAACTAATGTCCCTGATCCTTAAGGCTGTCAACAGATCTGTTTTCTGGATTTTTTCTTAATAGCATCTCCCTCTCTAACTTTACCTTGTTGGAGGCTTCATCTTCTTTTTCACACCGAGATAAAACTTCACTGAACTGAGAGGAAACATTTTGTCATGTTTACTGCTCTGTAAGGAAAAAATAAAGTTTTGTAAACACATAGATTGTATAAATTTCCTTGAACATTTAGAACTGTTTAGATTCTCCAGTGCTTCATGAATATAATGCCAATTTTTGTTTTGATTACAATGTAATGAATAAATTTAGATAATTCTGGATATGTATATATGTCTATTTACATATGTATAGTTGTACCTATATAAACACACGTACACCTCCATCATTCTTTACAAAAACATGGGAACAGATGCATATCAGACCTGCTAATTTTTCATATTTTACAAATATGAGACAATGAATATGCCATATGTATATAATTTCATTACTATACAATTATCTGGGGCAGCACCCTAAATTGAAATATATTCATATTTTTGTGCTCTACTGCATGTTATCTCATATATGTGAACTAGACAAATAAAAGCTCTAGATATAGTCAAGAAATGAAAGTACAATTTTCTATGTATTTTAGAATTATGGATGACAAACTGTAAACCTCTACAGGCACATATTGAATAATGTTAAATATTCATATGAATGAACATTATAATAAATAGTTCATTAAAATGCATACTACCAAAGATTTTACACTGTACCCTGGATCAACTATATGCTCTCCATAACCCTCTTAGTATATCTGTGCACAGGTAAATATTCAAAAATTTTACATGCTACTTGGATATATTTTCTACCAGGGAAGTTGTCTGAGAGGCAAAGCTTGAATCATTACACTCTAATTTACAATTTAATGCAGAAACTTCATATATCTCATTATTTATCATTTGATAGCCCATAATATTTTATAAATAGCTACAGAAATATAACAACCCAACATTCTCAATATCCTAAAAATTCTCAAGGAAAACTTGTGCTTCAAACTGGTAGGTAAGAGCAAGAAGTTTAAGGTCAGAGAGATTTTGGGGTAAATCTGATTTTTTTTTAGTAATCTGTAATTTCACGTTATTTCTCTCGGCTTTATTTTTCTTGTTTGTAAACAGGGACAATAAAAATACTGACATCCTGGGGCTGGGGATTTAGCTCAGCGGCAAAGCGCCTGCCTGACAAGTGCAAGGTCGTGAGTTCGGTTCCCGGTACTGGAGAAAAACGAAAAAAAAAAAAAAAATACTGACATCCTAAATTAGGTTACTGTAAAGACTAAATGTACTACTGTGGATGGTTGTAAAGAGTAAACAAAATAGTGCCTAAAAGGGCTTAGTACAGTAATTGGCATAAACTAAGCTCATAGGAAACAATATCTATCATTATGATAAATTGAGAACACATAACTCTCAGTAATTGCAATACAGATGTCTGCTATGATCCCAGGACAGTGTATAAAAGCTTACACAGCAAATAAGTAGGCTCAACTAAATACTAAGTACTATATAAACTAAATGCTACTATCAAGTTATTTCTTTATAAAAGCAATCAAATTTAAAAAGTAAAAGGTAATTTTATAAAATAAACATGGTTTCCATGGAACAAAGAGGCTAGGAGATTATTAGAGAAAATATACTTAGGTGAAGCAAACAGGAAGACGATAAAACATAATGCTTTTATGACCCATAGGCTCTGGGGCAACAAATAAAATTCCTGGAATTCACATGGTAAATTTACCCTGATTACTAAGTTTCTTCTTCTTATTGAATATATATACATATATATATGAATGATTTCTTTTTTTAACCTTATGGGTACATTACAGAAATGGAACCTTGTGGTCACAGGTCAGATGCATGACTGAGACGTTTGCTGGGCTGATTAATGTTTACAGTTAAACTTTTATGTATTTCCAGGCATTTGCAATTTTGATTTAGGAAAAAGTTTACTCTTGTCCTTATTTCCTTACACTAGTTTTTACATATTAAATATACAACTACGTGACTTTTTAACAAAATATTCACATCACCACTTGCCTTAACTTTGCTTATCATTTATTGACATTATTTTGTTTTTGCTTTTTGAGAGTTACGTTTTGTAGTTCATTTTACCTGACTTTATGGTGCCATTCCTCCATACTCACTTTTATGTTAGAATTGTACTGCTTAAACTCTTTTAGCTTTATTGCATGCATTAGCACTTGGTTAGGAAAATGCTTTTTAAATTGTTGAATTTTAAGGAAGAACATTTTAACAATTTGAACTATTATAGAATAGTGAGGCAGCTTTGTAAGGTAGTGGGGTGAGTACCTCACTACAGAATACATCAAGGAGAGCTGGCTACTAAGAATGTATACCATAGAGGTGCTTCCTGTCCAGCTCTTTCAGATATTAAATCTGATTACAACTGATACTAGTATTCTCCCCAACAGTTCAGACAGTTATCCCCTTGTACACAGCATTCGCTGTAGTAACCTAGTAAAGGGGCAGCAATTCCTTCAACATGGGAGAATAGCACTTGCATACTTGAGCGTGAGACTTTCTGTTCCTAAAGTAGTAGTCAGTCAGGATTTTTATGGGACACTGGTAAGTCCAGAAAAGCCTACATTTTGAGAACTCTTTGACAACAGATTAATACTTAACGTAATACAACCATCCCTCCAAGCCACTTCTGGCATGCAAGCTTATTTACGCCATATTCTATCCATGGAAACTCAACCTAAGTAGAGAGGAATTCAACAACTGGGATAAGAGTGCTTTTTGTGTTTCAATTTGTAAACTGAATATGCATAAAAAGAAACTGTAAAAATCCTAATGGAAGGTTTTATAAAAGAAAATTTCATTTGGCAAGAAAAACTTACTGTTGGCATATTACAACTCTCTTCTAATACATGTAATTTCTGGATGATTTTTCTAAAAAGTTCAATAACTAAACTTAAGTCTGCAGTGTGTTGCTTTAGTCACTGTATTTCACAGTAAAGTTTTAACTAAGTCAATTAAATGAGGGTGATTAAAAATTATTCCTGTTGCTAAAATGAGTTTGCTTATCGGTGTGTACAACTTTCACACGCTCCCCATACTCACTTGCTTTTTTCACATCATTAACAGAGTAATGGTAATATTCTTTGAAACCTCTCACCTTTTATGTAAATCAAGTCTGAAAATATTTTAATTAACATATTCTGTGCAGGCAAAAGTTTCAAAACAAAATATGCCTTCCCCTGTGTATTACTCTAATTTGTTGTTAATGAACATTCATAAATTATCTCTAATTAACACAAAGTTGCTTTAAGTACATTTCTCAATTTGTAATTTTTACTCCTTTCTCAATAAATCACCACATACACACACACACACACACACTGAGGCACACACATATTAATGGCAACTGCCAAAACCAGAGTGAAAATCATTACTCAAATAGGTTGGGTTTTTACTATTGATTATTTACTATGAAATCATTTGGAAAGTTAATGTAGGCAATGACTTCAGTCGCTATCCACATTAACAGGTACAGACCTGCAACAGAGGGAAAAAACCCAGAAAAACAAAATCATGTGCTGAAAATAAACAGCACTTTGAGTTTTAAAGGAAAAACTACCTCTCATCTGATTTCCTTAATGTGTATATGAATGTATCAGTTCCATTAATTTATGCTGACAGATTAAGGAAATAGAACTTTCAAACATCTAATAATTAAGATTTTTTCCATAACTATGATTTGAAAACTAAATGTATTCTGTGTCCTTCAAGAGCACTGTCTTTCAGGTAGGCACGCACGACTCTCATTGCCTACCAGTTTTTATGAATTTTCTTAAAACAGGGTGACTTTTTAAAAAATATACAAAGTCTTTTGTTTCTTTTTTTAAAGAGAATAAAAATAATAAAAAAAAACATTAGAAACAATACAGAATTTCACTAAACAAGATAACAGGAATTCAACAATGGTTGTTATATGGATAGCTGGGACAACTGTACTGCTCATTTCTACTGGGCTATAGAAAGAAACAGTTACTCTTTACATTTTTTCTCTTCATTTTAATTTTTTTAATTATTTTTTTTGACCAAGTTTGCATGCTTATATCTGGTAACCTGAGCAACTAATTTGAAGACCACAGTATGCAATACAAATTCTTAATCGTTGTTCTATTAAGGCATATGAAATTTTTCATCTCACAAAAACAATCCATCTGCAAGAGTCACTACTTCATCCGTGTGACAGATATTACAGCTTCTATCAGCTTGAGTGGAAACAGTATAAACAAGTGAACTGTATGTATAACCATATTTGAAAATACTTGGTACTCTTTAAAAGAACCTATTACCTTTAAGTATTCTGTCAGCAAAAAAAAAAAGCAAAAAAGCCACTAAGCTATAATAATGAAAACATACTTTTCTTAGTAAATTTTTTGAGTCTTTCAAATATGACACCTGGGAATGAATTCTGACTCCATCACTTATGTGTTCTATGGTCTTGTGCAAACTCAGTGATGTCTTTCTTCATGTGCAAAGCAGGAACGGGTGATGGCAGTGATTTCACGAGTTATTATAAGGATAATAAGACATGGTCCAAGTGACATATATAGAACTCTGCTTCCCATAGATGAGCCACCGAATGGTAGTCAGGGCTCTTGACTGCACTGCTATTACTGCTACCACTGAGTATGCACTGTTATTAGACCTTTTCTGAGTTTCTAGGTAGAACAAGGTGGGAGTTAAGTTACAGTATATAATATGGGTTTCAGAATAGAGAGAAAAGTGATGCAGAATTTAGGACCTTTTGTAAGCCTTCTAGCTGAATAATTCATTGAGCCCGAAGAAAGCAAACCTGAGATGTATACACAAAGTATAACTACTACTAAAATTTATTTATCCCCACACTGATGCTTTCTACAGGGAAACTAGTTAAAGAATGCAGAGAGCTCAACAGAATCTGTAAAGAAATGGTCTACAGTTCTGGAAAGCTGCCTAATCTTTTTTTCATAACGTATTAACAAATGTTCTAGTTTGGTCTGTCTTTATACATCTCCACAGCAGAAAGGGGAAGTGTCATTCATTTAAAGTATGCAAGTAATGTTTACTCAAGTGAATTTTACAATTCAGTATAAAAACCTCTCCAGGTCCAGCTGACTGCCATTCTACATTTAAAAGCATTGCCCCAGTATGGCTTTAATCTCAAAGAAATAGAGATGTCACTGTATACACCCATGTGGCGACCCCCTTCCCACCCCAAACAGAACAGAGAATGTTTCTAACTATCCTACTGACCTCCCAGCTGGTAATTCTACAGAAATATTTCTTCCTAACCTAAGCAGACATCTGACCTCCTTCACCACAGAACAGTTTTGCATATGGTACTATTTTGTGTTGAGGTTCTTGATGCATTAGTGTTGTGGTGTGAATCTGAATTCATTTTTATCGATGAGTAGTGACTGTATCGTATGGATATGTCATTTTCCTTCTGATGGGCATTCAGAAGACTTTCAGGCTTTAGATGTTAGGAACATTTTTGTACAGGTGCTTTTGTGGACATAGTATGTTGGAATAAAACTGCTGGAGCATAGGGTAAAGGGATGAATAACTTTAAAACCCTCCTAAATAATTCTACACAGTAGCTGTCTCATTTTACTTTTCCAGCAACAATTTATGAGATTTCAAATTAATCTACCTCTTTGTCAACGCAGAGATTGTCACTCTTAATTTCAGTCAGACCCATGGGTCGAAAGAGTTTTAATTTGAATTTCCTGAAGATTAACGAAGTTGAGCACTTTTGTTTCAACAGCTCCTTGGACATGTTAATATCTTTCTTCAGGTACTTACTTTTCAATTCTTTGCCCAATTATTTATTGGGTTTTCTTTCTTGTTACTGATTTGGAAGAGTTGTTTATATACAGGATAGGACTCCTTTTTCAGATAAATGTATTAGAAGTGTTCTTTGCAGTCTGGAGCTTACCTATTCATATTCTTAGTGGTATCTTTGATGAACACGTTATTATTGTCACATATATTTATAAAATGTTTCACAATTTAAGAAATAGCTTTATATATATTCTTGATTAAGCATTGAAATAACTTGGCCTGTAAGGCTCAAACTATCACCATCGTGTTACAGACTCAGAAATTGAGGTTAAGAGGTTAAGTTACTTATTCACGCAATCAGCTCTAAGCAGAGATGTGATTTTCTGATGTGAAGTTCAACGTTCTATATTTACATCATTTATCTAACTCTCTATGTGTTAATGTCTAATTTTTCTCCCTATTCCATAGTTTCTTAACAGAATCCTTTACAGAACTTAGAGACAAATCAGTTAAGACACAATTCATAAATATGACATTAAATGAATAAGTCAATTCATTCAAATGTATAGAGAAGATACTAACATTTATTATCACTTTTGGATTTTGCCTTTTTATGCTTTTCATTAATTTTCATTAGCAACTTAAGCATCTTGCCTTAGGGTATGACATAGTCTCAATTTTATTCACTAACCTGCTGATTTCTAAGCTATTTTATATAGCACATATTAAAGTTTTCTTCAGGGCTTAAGTCATCCTGTGTCCTAAAAAATTTAAGGTGCTTTGAAAGGGCACAGAAAATTTTCTACTGTTTTACTGAGCGCACTAGTGTCATATCCCAGAGGCCAAAAGAAATCCTAAGCTTATCATGCATTTTCTTTACTACAGGTTGTGACTTCAAGAGACATGGCTGAGAGTAGTGTAAAACAAAATGGAAATGACCACACCATCCAAATAAAAGTGTATATACGTTCATACTCCACTTATATAATTACCTTTGGGTCCTTGTAAAGAAACAGGCATCCATCTCGTAGAACAAAATATCGGTCTTGAAATTTATTTCCAGACAGTATTTTAGATGGCTCTTCTTTGATTTTCAAAACTCCTTCCTTGATACCTTTTTCTGAAAAGTATAGGATTCATTTTGCAAGTTGGTTACATTTTCATGTATTTGGAATACAATATAAAACATTTGCATGTTTTTAGTTTTGTTAATACAAATAATTTTCTACAACATAGCAGCCCAGTGGGAGTTCCTGGGAAGAGCACTGTTCAGGAGCACTGCTCTTACCCCATTCAGGCCTGTTAGCGCTCTCCAATTAGCTACGGGCTGCTGAGCACACAAAATGTGCTTAGTGTGAACTGGGGTGTGCTACAAGTGAAAAACACGTATCTGATATTGAAGACTTCATTAAAAGAAAAAGAAAGGTAAAATATCACCATTTTAAATGTTGATTACACGAAGAAATGATGTTTTTGGTAGGTGAGATTAAGATATACTAATGAAATAGTCAAGTTAACTTCACTTATTTCTTTATAATTTTAAAAATGTAGCTATGAAGCAATTTAAAACTATATGTGCAGTTTACATCCTAATTCCTTTGAAGAGTACTAGTGTAAACAAATGCAAATACACATGGATAAAAGGAAACACCTCAGAAACTCTAAATCCGGAGTCCAACAATTCTTACTCAGAGGAAATCTAGAAATTCTCATGGGATTAGAAAAATTGCTATAAATATGAAATAGGCAAAAGTAAAACCATTACAGTAGCATACTTAACAATATTGAGATTTCATATGCAACATGGCCAGCACATCACACTTTGACATCATTTAAACTAATTCCACTAAAAATACTTTTCAATGAAAAAAAAAAAAAACACTTTTTATTTTATAATGTATAAATTATCAATATATTTTCAGTCTAAAAGTTTTTGCTGAAATTCACATATTCAACTGCCTACTTGAGAAATGAAGAACAGAAGGGAAAAATAACCTAAAGTCAAAAAAATCACTACATAGTTATTATGGTGTCACCTTCTGCTTTTCCTGTAAAATAGAAGCAAAGAAACCTACAGTATTCTACAGGCTGCTATATCCCCTACAGTGGATAATATACATAAAAGTGGTAGTGCAGAATAGTGTATCAGGACTAGGAACTTTAGAAATTCCCTACTACTAAGGTGATACAAGCTTAAACATCCATGTGGTATCTAATTTACAAAACAACATGAACAGATTTCCAAAAAACTCCCAGTCTTAAGATTTGGTTTATTTGGGAAGAAATCTTTACTATAATCACTATCAGAAAACAAAAACTAACAAATACGAATAGATTTTTATAACTCCAGTATGAGAATGTAATAAGTTAAGTGGAAGCAAAAATCCCCAGGGTCAATCTATATCACTGATCTTGACTATAAATAAAAGCACAAAGGTAATTAACAAACTTCAGTAGTTTTCATGATATAATACAGCCCACAAATAGGATATATACTGTCCTTAATGAAATGCTTGCATAAATTATATTAGGCTTTTTTGCCAGTAAGCTAGCTCATCAAACCTGCGACTTTTGCTTCTTACTTTCTCTCCAAAGACATCATCAGAAATCTCCAGGAGGATCCAAGAACTGAGATACCACAATACTGCACAGACACGATGTTCACCAGATCAAAAAATATGGTAACACACTCCCTTAACATTCAGTCAAACACAAAAAAATATTTAAAGGATACTTTATACGTAAATAAGAAGTATAAGAAATATAGTAAGCAATTTAGAAAATACTGGATATACTTGATTTGTTCAAGAACAGGCACATGGAAAAAGGCATTCATGATAGTGTTGTTTTAAAAAAAGATAAAATAATTTTAATTGCGAGATATATATTGTTTTAGTGGGACAAAATGCATTTATATCTTCATCATTTAAATTATTGTCCAAATTAATAAAACTTTCAAATTTTATCAATAAGGAATAACCATATGCCCAGTGTCTAGGTAAGTCACTCATACATCAAAGAAAAAGCAAGTGTGATGGTTAAGGTGGATTGTCAAACTGATTAGCTTGGAAGGCCTCAGAGGATCAAAAAGCACACTTACAAATGTGCCTAAGTAGGACATGAAGTCAGGGGCTTGTGGTCTTTATCTGGTTCTGTGTCCCTTCCTCTGTAGCCGTATTTCCCCAGTCTGCTTCCCAGCCTCCACAGGGTGTGCAGGTTTGCTCCCAAACTCCCCTGTACCCCGACGCTTCTGCCCTCCAGCCAATCAGACTAAATCCCCTAAAATCATGAGCCAAATTAAATCTCTCCTCCTTTAAATTGTGACTGTAGGGTATTGTATCCCAGCAACTGGAAATCTAACTAACACAGTAATTGGTACCAGAAGTGTGGTCACTGGTGATTATTTGACAAGTTTAAAAAGCAGTATCATAGAGTTCTTTCACCTATACTGTTACAAGAAATACTAAACAAAGAAAATATTTCCTTGAACAAGGGAGATTCAGTGTAAAAAGAGACATCAATGATGAACTACTTGAACTATTTTTCTGTGCTTGAAAACTGTAAACATTCTGTCCTAAAATAGTCATTTACTACATGCTGTGTTTCTAGTCTTTTATTTAAGTAGGCTACATACATTTAGATTTTCTTTCTCCTGTGGGCTAATATAATACTTACCAATCCTTTACATTTTCTACAGTAGATTCCTGCATGAAACAAGAAACCTAATAAAACTTGTCAAATGTTTTTCTCACTACAAAATTATACTATCACAAAAAGTCAGGACATTCACAGTCCATAAATAGTGAGTATCAAGGACTATCATAAATTTCAAAAGGAAATACTTACACTTGAAGTGGGCTAAGTCTTATCTTCAACTTTTTAAGCATCTCTGGATGTAAGAAGATTTGATGGGAAGTGGAATGTGAGTAATTTCTGTTTCAGTATGATTTATGGACTCGTATTATTTTTTTTTGAAATTTTCTTTCATTTTCTTCAGTCTACTGGCAGTAAAAAGCTTAGCTTTCCAGGTCTGAATATTTCAGAAGCAGTTGCATTTTAAACTATTCTACTCCAAAGCAAATGTAACTCAAAAACACCATACAAACCAACCTAAATTTACAAATACATAATGATCTGCGTTTGAGTTACAACTTATATGTTCAAAGTATTTCTTCTCCATTTAGATCACAAAGATCTGATGTCACAAATGAAATTCTCTTGGGATAATTTTAAAGAACTTTAATGATTAAAGTAAGACTTTAGCAATATAAAATCACTTATTATGGAGTCATACAGAAGGCTAAACTTAAAGTTTGTGACAGAGATGTTGAAACTTAATATAAAAGATAACAATAATAAAAGATGGTTTAATTAGAGTAGTTATGACAAAGTTTAAATAGCAACTTAAATGAAGTTTCACTAGTCTTATCTCAATGTCTCAGCTTTTAATCCATAAAGTACAAATGAAATTTGAAGACTATGATCTTTTTTTCACTTAATTAACTCCTCATTACAGTAGTCGCAATGGCACAAAATGTTTCTGAGAAATACAATGCTGCTTTTGAAAAACAGAACTGATTTTCAAGTAGAGATAAAACTTTCACTGCCTTACACTTCTACAAACGTAAAGGAGCCTAATTACCTCAAATGAATGAGCAGAAATTAAATGTTCAATGATTCTAAAATCTACTCCTACTTATGTCCGCATTTCAAATGGTTCAGATAAAGTGAGAGAACTGAAGAAATGAAAACTCCTAAACTACAGCAAACGGTTATTACATGATAAAACTTCTTGATTTAGAAAGTTATGAAAGCATTATATCAAACAGAAGTATATGCTTATAATTTATCCTCTAAATTCACAAAATTATCATAGAATCAGAGAATTAATGAAAGATATATCTATCTATCTATAGTATGAATGGTAGATAAACAGATATAGAGACATACGGATAGGGACACACAGAAAAACAGTCAAATTTGTGGTAGCTAAGTACCAAATACCAGAGGATGGAAGAGTTTGCAAAGGCTGTTGTATTTCCTTTTTTTCTTTTTTTTTTGGATTTTCTCTGGTACCGGGAACCGAACTCACAACCTTGCACTTGCCAGGCAGGCACTTTGCCGCTGAGCTAAATCCCCAGCCCCGGCTGTTGTATTTCTTGTTGTTGCTAGTGACTGAAACTAGTGCCGTGTATGTGACAAGCAAGTGTGCATTTCAGATACAAATTTTGTTTTAACAAGTTACCATATTAACTATTTGTTACTTAGAGAAAATATGGTTGTATCTAACTACCTTGTTTTCAAACTGCTGATTTCTATCTGGCCCCTAAAACACAATAAAAAATCTTAAGAATGGAACAAAATCTGTACATTCCTCCTGTGCTGTTCTGAAGAATAATTGTTTCTGGGATAAACCAGTTTTTCTTCTAAGAAAGTATGAGAGAAGTCATATGTGAGTCATTATTTTCCTTTTAGATCCCAATTATAAGGGGTAGCAGGTATAACGAATGCAGCAGTAATTTTGAAGAAAATTTTCACTGTGATTGATTTAGGAGACATTTGCCAAGACAGAGACATAGTAGGCTGAATAGCTAAACTATGCCAAATCTATCACAAAGAGTATCCCATAAAAGTACTAATAAGGTCAAGCTTCTTCAAGATACTACTACAGGAGGAAAATCACAACTTAACAAATGAATTTCAAAATAAGACAATCTTCTTTAAAAAGACAATTCTAACATTCAAACAAATATAGAACCAACCATAATGAAAGATTTCACAATCTCAAGACTGTGAAAGACTGCTTATATAAATATAATCAAACAATATAAATCAAACTTAAACACTCATGAAAACTACACAGAAAAGGAAAATGTAATTATTTTAAGCAGGTTAGTTCTATTCTTGGCCAAAAATATTAACTACTAATAGAAAATATTCAATTATATATTTACTTATGTTGTTACTCTAATTTCCTAGAGACCGAACTTCCTAGTAGGAAGTAGTTTAGATAGTACAATAACAGAGAACTATATATTGCATTAACAAAATGAGATGGGCACAGTTCAGGGAAAGGGATTTGACTTATAGCTCCTATGTGTTAAGAGTAGTGGAGGAGATAAAAGAGTAACACCAACGTTTCCTGACATTTCACTAGGAAGACTGTTTCTCGGTAATGTCTGAAAATACCATGTAAGTCTACCACCTTTTCTTCTTGGGGTTGAGCTTTCCAGTTTCTAAGCAAGATGTTTTGTCTAGACCTTATAGACTTATGCTTTCCTCATTGAAGGGCTGACTCATATACCATCAAGATGGAGCAATGGGATATGTGCAGTATCATTACAACACCCAATCTTTCTCCTTGCTTTATGGACAGAATCATGTACAGTTTGTTACTGTGTTGTTTCTTCATGCACTCACATGATGACAATTTTGCTCACATATGATTGACCTAAATTGGCGCAATCCTGATTTTTTTTTTTCAGTGATTAACAGCACTGAATGATACCTTTGCTTTGGGTGATCCAGCCTCCACAAACACAAAACCTTCCTATCAATCCTTATTATGTTAGTACTCATTATACATTGCTGTTACAGAGCCAGCTCACTAAGATTCAACAGCTAATCTGTTATATGTAGCTGTAAATTTTAAAGATTTTCTAATATGGAGATTTACAGACATTTTGTAGGAATATTAGAAAAAAATTATCACAAGATAGAACATAAAAGATAACATACTTGCTGTAAGAAAAGAAACCATAAAATAATAAAGTATGTATCATAATGCTAATACAGCATGGTTCATAAGTTCCACAGTTTTTCATTTCTTTTTTGGGGGGTACTGGAAATTGAACCCAAGGTCTTCCACATGCTAGTACAGCACTCTGTCACTGAGCTATACTCTCAGCTGTTTTCCCTCCAAATTTTTTATTACAGTATTAAAATGAAAGAATAATAGACTTTGAGAGCTAGAAGAGATTTCATATATGATCTAAATTGCCTCCACTGTCACTTGAACTAGAAACTACCTTGTTGTGTAGGGCTGCCCTGTGCTCTTATGGGATTTTGAGCAGCGTCCTTGGATTCTACCCACTAAATATCAGATGCACCACTCACCATACCACCCAACCCCAAATTGTGATAGCCACAAATGTCTGCAGACACTTTCAAATGTCCCTGAGCAGCAAAATCATCTCTAGATGAGAACCATGGCTCTCATATATGGATACCTAATTCACTGAAATGATTAGAATTTCTACTGCAGTCCTTAAGTAGGTATGAGAAGGATGCAGTTGAAATCATAGGTAAAAGTGGCAGAAAAATTTAAAATAAGATAAAGGTCTCTGAAAGGCTATATTTCTAGAACAAAAAGGATAAAGCCTCTTTTATTTATTTAGATGAGCAGGAGAAAAAATGTGTTTTGCAGAAATACTTTCAAGTAAGTGTAAAACACAAAAGACAGTGCCATGAAGTCAGAAATTAGTAGATCAGCTTTGGTATCATAAATAAGAGCTTGATGAATACGGCTACTATCTAGACAGCATGTAATCACACTTGGTCAGTTTACAGCCTTTTAGAGCTGTAAGACCTTCCCTACCCTTTCACGTTAAAAAAAAACAACAGAAGGCCAATCTGTTCTCAAGGTTAGTATTGAGTAACTGTAAGACTCAAGCCCAGCTGTCAGAATCAAATACGGGGTCTTACACATTCTAGGCCAGTGCTCTACTACTTCTATGAGCTCTTTTCCTCATCTGTAAAATTAAAGTGACAAGATAACTGACAGGAAAATTTAAATATTTAACTGCCTTTGATGTCAGTTTGGCTAATGACATGTGATCAATATATAGTAACAGTTATCATATTACTTATAAAAGTTGTGGTAATTTTCATTCCAAAAGACTTCAGTCATTAGTTTTGGGGTTGAGTGATAAATACAGCAGACTGAAATGTTAGTTTCTAAGCTGTCAGTGAATGACAACACAATAGGAGAATGAAAGTGGCAAAATAAAATTTCCTTCTGCAGCATATGCATTTGGATTGTTTTCTTTGGTTCGCTTGTGCTAGTGACCTTCGTTAACCTTACAGTGTACACTGTTTTCCTCCATTTGGATGGCAAGTATTATTTCAGAAATGTTGTATTTTGCATTTTTTCCAATATCATTGCAAAGAAATTGAGACTTATACCAAGCACTCAGTCTCACAACCTGTAAAAGCTCCACTTCTTCAACAGCTAGAAAAATTTCAAATAGAAACGTAATTCAAGCAGCAGCCTCATCAACAACCTACTATGTTCATTCAGTCTGGTTGCAGAATTGTAAAACACACAGGCACAAGTATCGCAAATGTAAGTCTTAAAAGTATGTTATCATCAAATAGGCAACCATTATTACTGGGGTATATGCTGGGGAAATTTCCTCCTGTCCGTATATTACTCTTCTTTAGAACTGTGTGTAATCAGATTCTGTAACTACTTGTTTGCTGCCTTTGCAAATACGACTTGTGCCATATAACTGAACTTTTAGCAACTTGAATTTTTAGCCATCCCTGCAATGTGAAGCAACGGCACCTACCTCTGTAATGTTTAATCGTGTCGATGGTTAAGAATCTCTTCACCACAAGGTAAGCAGAACCGGGTTCGGCTAATGAACTCCACCGAAGCACCTGTTCCAGTATATTCTCTGTGTAGTGAAGAGGGCGCTCTGCAAACACAGAAGCCAAACACATCGAGATTTTTATTTGTCATTATAAATTTTTAAAACTCCTCTTAAAAACACATGGATATAACAAAATCCATGATCAAATCTTAGGCTACACAATAATAATATGAGAAGCACATGCAAGAAACCCTAACTCCTGGAAAATTATTCAGTACATAGTTACATTTACTGTATAAATTCATCTGTGAAGAACATTTGTTTGTTACACAACTATTTTTTTCTTAGGTATAGAAGTGATTTCCTTTAGGTAAACTTTCAGGAAGCTACCTTGAGTGCTATGAACATGTGTCTTATTATATCTTCTTTTTAATTTAGATAAAATTATAGTATTCTTAGGGAGAGCCGATAATTTGCATATGCAATTAAGTAACTTTAAAAGGATAGCAAAACTATTTTGTCTAACACTAAATAATAAGCATGACTTAATTCTTTGTCCCAAAAAGATCAGAATTTTACAATTTTTGATCAATACTAATGAACAATTTATACCTGGTATTTTCATACTTAAAGTAACATTACAAAATATTGCAAATAAAATAAAATAATTACAAAATAGTACTAAGTAATCTACGTTTAACTACTGGTAGATGTATCAATCAAAAACATTATGTGGCAATATTACACATTGTTAATATATATAATAATAGGCCAATAAGCAAAAATTAAATGACAGTTTAAAACTTTCTCTTTGATGAATTTTTATACTTTTTTTGTTTTAGACAAATGCATCACGCATTCCTAGCATCACGCATTCCTAGTTTTAAAATGTCTTACAATTACAATCAAAGCTTCATAAGGAAGTTCTGTTGGTGATCAAAATATGCCAATCAGTTAATAAAATAGAATGACAGAAGGGTATGCTCAAAAAAAGAAATGCAAACTTTCATGGTGCACTGAAAATAGCATAAGTAGCAAGAAGAGAAGCTCTGACATGATGATGTCGACGCCGCTTTCTCATAGCCATATATGTCAACCCAGCTCTCCTAGATATACAGCATATGGGACTTGAACTTTTTGTTTTCAAATATTGCCTATGATAAACAAGAAAAAAGCAGGCAGGAGGCAATATACACGACCCATGACATTGTAACTGGTAATAAAATCACAAATAAAATGGACCAAATATATTACACCCTAATTCTGCTTTCTCAGGTTATGAGCACATCATTAAAGGAGTTATCAGAAATCCCAGGTCCACCAAAGAAAATGTTTTCTGCTTCCAGGCAAATTATAAGATTTTTGCTTCCTATCCAGTAAACTAAAATATAGTTCTTTATTCTGTGTTCACTGGAGTAAGCTGCTTATTCATAATGGGAATTTTTAAAAGAGAGACATTAATCCACTCACTTTAAAATCTGTATCTTGATTTACTATTGTATTTCTTCTGCACATGGTAGAGTAATGAGTATATAATAATGCTCAATAAGTATTTCAAGTATTAACTATTAAATAAATTTTGGGGGGGGGACCATAAATCACAGAAACCATTTGTTGTAAGATCAGCAGACAAAATATGTTTTTTTAAAAACTAGAAAAAACATTTGTGCTTCATCAGCACTGCTCTCCAAATAATTTTCCAAAAGCTTTGGAATCAGTAATGTCTCAGAGCTGGTAAGCAGTGCTCTCAATCATTATACACCAAATGTAAAGAGAAGGCTTATTCTATAATTGTTTTGACATTTAGATACTTCTAATTCCAATGATAAGGAACCAATTCATAGGAAGTATCTAAATGTCAAAACAATTATAGAATAAGCCTTCTCTGCTTACCAGCTCTGAGACATTACTGATTCCATTAATAGCGGTCATTTCTGGAATAACAACTATGCATCAGATATTACATATATTGCATATTTTATGTCAGTTATCAGTTTACACTCTTGTGATAACATTCCTTACACATGCTACTATTCACAGTGATATTTTACAGTCACATAATGGTTAAATCAAGAAACAGAGATTGGAATCTAAACCTATCTGACTTTCAAGCCCCTATTTTCAACTACACTACTTTTAGTAGTGATGGTTTATTACATGTAATTTTCTGGGGAAAAAGTATCAATTACGAAGTTTTCTTTTGTTATGTTTCTGAGGATTGAACAAGGTATCACAGGAAAAAAAGGAAGGAAGGAAGGAAGGGAGGAAGGAAAAAGAAAGAAAGAAAAAGAAAAGAAAAAAGAACGAACATCAGTTCATATTTTCCCCTTCACTTTCCCATTCTACTTGAGCAGATGGTAAGGAAATAATGGCAATATATATTCAATACTCTGATGTAAGGAAACCAGTGATACAGCAATTGTGTTGGCCAAGCAGGAATCATGTTCTGACCTGGAACAAAGCATGTGACTTGAAATAAAAACTCACTCCCCTTGGTTACAGGATTTAATTGGTAACAAGATTTCCAAATGTCAGAACATTTACATTAATGAGGGTCAGTATTATACACTATTACAAGAAGGTACTATAGTGATAGAGACAAAGTGTTCTTAATTATACTAAAACATATTACAGCAGATATAGAGGCTTACCAATAGGTGTACAATTAATTAGGATTTCAAAAAGTTAGGTATATGGTTCACATCAGTATCACAGTATGAAATACTACAGAAGAAAAACCTTGCAATTCCAAGATTCTAAAGAACACAGTTGAAAATTGGATGGAAAGATAAATTTGTATTAGAATGCCAAATTCTACCACTATGAGATGGCATTAATTTTTTTTAAGATGGCATTAATTTTCACCTTAAGAAAAAGATAAAAAGCAGAAAAAATTGATTGAGTCATTAAACACTGTTGGAGTATAAATTTATAGAAATAAAAATTACCTATAGTTATAATCCTCTACCAAGATAGATTATATGGTATGTAAGTCATTTGACATTAGGACATTATGGAAAAATAAGTAACTTTTATAATATCAGCAGAATGAAAAATTGCTAAAAATTTAGGATAATTCTTGGGAAAAACAGGTTATAGAGCTAGTTCTACAGCTAGGTAAGCACACTGTTAATTGTTTAAAATCTTATGAAAAGAGTAAGTCTGATGTTCCAGGTTAAGAAACAGCTATTCATTTTCCTACTGAAATAAAAACTGTTGTCCTTAAATTTCTGGTGGTAATAGCCAAGAGATTCCAGAGACAATTACAACTTCCTCAACCATCAAAACCTTAGTGCCAGACTTAGGGCTGTGAAAGCCCTTCTCTGTCCCATCCACATGATCAGAAGATAGCATGAGGAGAACTGCCAAGAACCCTTTTGAAAAACCAGACCTTTCACACATACTAGGTATGAGGAAGGTAAAAGAAAAATTTTGCTATGATATTGCTGCATAGAAAGGAACTGCATTGTAATTCAAAGCTCTCAGTGAAGTCTACTTATGAGAGTCCTTGGGAAGCTGTTTTGAAATGTAAAGGACCTAGAGAGTACAGGTGCTACATTGACAGAGGACAAGATCAGGTTCCAGGTGGAGATTAGAATAACAAAATATTCTAGAAGAGCAGCTACTGATGGAGGGATTATCCTCTCTCAGGTTTGGAATCTGAATGTTTCTCAAAGGCCAGGTGATGAAGGCTTAGTTTCTCATCTGTGGCAGAACTAGGAGGAGGTGGAACCTTCAGGAAATAGGGACTAGCATGAGAAAGTTAGGTCATTGAGGATGCACCCTTGGAAGGATTCAGGAACCTGTGCTCTCTCTTTGACTGCCAGCCACCAGGAGTAAGCAGTTTTACTCTGTCACATGCTCCCCACCATGATGTTCTGCTTCACCACAGGCCCAAAAGTCATAATGCCAACTAGTAATGGGCTAAAACCTCTGCAACTATCAATCAGAAGAAACCTTTGCTCCTTCTAAGATGATTTATCTCAAGTATCTGTCACAGCTAAGGAAAGCCACCCAACATACTCTGCTACTGTAGGTTTGAGCTTGCCCGAACAATCAGCATGACTGGGTCAAAGATTCTTAATATCTTTCAAGATGTGCAAAAGAAGTGTTTTCTATCCAGCATAAATTTGAAGTGTCCCTTCAGGTACTCAGGTATATAAATTAATTGAACACAGAGTCCAGCTCAAATTTGTGCATTTATTTGACTGCAATATAAAAATCAAGATGTGAAAAATATCAAAATATTTTGCATGGTCAAACCTAGACTTAATTGTTCCATGAATATATCATTTAGCAATTGTGCTTTGTTTTAGTAAGAACTAGTCTAAGAATTGTTCTCCATTTCACCAATGATGGTAACGCTGCTAATACTGTTGGTCACAAAACTGACATGTTATTCTGGACTTGCGAAAGACAGATCTATAGTGATTCCATTTATTGGTGTAGGATCTGTTTTCATCATCTCTGACAACATGTGTATATTATAATTATAAACATATCTTTTAAAATGTATGTTTCTCAATTATTCTGAAATATCTGGAGTGTTATGCTAATTTTTAAAATAAGTATAATAAACGATTTCAAAAAGGTAATCATTATAAAACATTTATTATACAAATAGGGCACTGGGTATGACAGGGTACAGAAATATCATTTTATCCATTTATTAATTTTTGAACACTTTATTACTTGGAGGATTTATTTTTACATTAAAACACTCACTAATTTCCTGTTGACATTCTTCCTACCAACCAGAATCTTGTGATTCCTATTATCCTTTCACTTCATCTTCTTTTTATATTTCACTATATCTTCTCTGTATGTTACTAGAAACAAAGCTTTTAACACTTCAGAAGTCAGTAATATGGAGGTTCCACCTACTTCAGTCAACCGACATGATCACCGTCCCTTTTTTGGTGTCCCTAAAATTCTTCCTCTAGAAGCAGTAAAAACATCCTAGTTTTTTCTTTTTTTTTTTTTGGTTTTTCTCCGGTACCAGGAACCAAACTCACGACCTTGCGCTTGCCAGGCAGGTGCTTTTGCCGCTGAGCTAAATCCCCAGCCCCCTAGTTTTTTCTCTACAGATTCTACAATACACTTGACCAAACACTAACATTATGCCAAATTTGAATTCTTAACTCCAAATGTATACATTTTTGATATCCATAGGCTATTTCTTTGATTCAGACATGCACAAATCCAATCATCTTGATGCTTCCTACAATATCTGCATCTTCATTAGTATAACGTTTTATTTCCTTTTTATTAAAAATAAGGAAAAACAACACAAATCAAACAAATCTTAGCATTTTGTGGCACTGATTATCATGCAATTAGATAACTAGTCATTTTCAGGGTAAGCCCCTGATTTTCCAAAAGGAAATTTCAAAAACAAATTTTCCAGGTAAAATGTAATGCTCTCAGATGTATATATTTCCTTCTTGTCATCATCCATTCTATTTCCCCCTGTCAGGAGGACCAGTGACCAAAGGCACAAAGCTCCAATATTATGACATAGGAGAATGCTTTAATCCAGTGATGGTGAACATTTTAGAGCATTCAATGATAACAAACAACTGGCTGCAGCACGTGTGTCACAGATTTGCCAGCACTGTTTCAATCAAATTTCATTCTGGAAAAAATAAGTGTTAGTAGGAAGAGAATGCCTACCTCAAAATACATGACTCAGTATTCGGCAGTCAATCTCCTAAAACAAAGAGAAATAGAAGTGTGCAGGAAATAATCAACTGCCCAAGCCCTAACCTGGACTTAGAAATCTAGTAACAAGGATATCTTCTGATGTGCTTTCTACACTTGGATATATCTGTAAAAGAGCCACAGTCCAACCACAATCCAAGATCCACAATGGATATATTCCTTTATATTCTTCTTCCATCTCAGTTAAGATTTTATTGGGCAAGGTTTATATTAATGCATTATCCTATAGGTTGTGAGAGATATAAAGATCTAGAACATATGTTAACTGCTCTAAAAAGGTATGACCAAAGGAAGAGCCAGAAATGTAAGTAATCCTATTCCACAAGTTAGACAGCAAGTAGTATTATAAACATAAAAGGAAATGATCAAAACAAAATCACTGCGAATTATGCTCATTTGAATGTCATTGAGATACTTGAGCTGGATCTTAAGCATGAATACACAATGGTAAAATAATAAAAAAAGTTTTATTTGGTGGCACAACATAATATAATCTGTGATTCAGATAGATACTTCTGGAAATAATGACAACAAATATCTTTCACAAATATAATGAAGCAGATAAGCTGGGCCCATTTTGAAACTTACACAAAAAGAAAAATCGAAAGACTCTACCATGCCTGCATCACACAATCATATAATAATATGCTTTATCATTATTATTATTACTATTATTATTATTGTCTTTTTGAGACAGGGTCTCGCTATGCATTTCAGGCTGGCCTTGAGCTCACTTTGTAGCCCAGACTGGTCTCAAACTCACAACAATCCTCCTGCCTCAGCCTCCTGAGTGCTGGGATTACAGGCGTGCTCCACCATGCCCAGCACTTTATTTATTTAATAGATGTTAACTGCATGGCACCATGCTGGATACTAAAGACAAAACAGAAAACAAATAACTGAATCCCTATCTCATTTGAAGAAGCTCCTGTGTGCACAAATGTAAGTTCAAGTGACAGCCAGCACAAAAAGAAATCAGAGAACAAGCAATGAAACTGAATATGGGTTTGAAAGGAGATAACTAGGTATGTCCGATGGGGGAAGAACCAACTTTTGTATGGGAAATGACACTCACACGCTGCTCAAGTGCAAAGATCAGAATAGATTTTCTATAAAGAATTTATAAAATACAGAAAGACTGCAAAGGAAACTGGGAGGTGTGAAATCCCACATTTAGATGGAAAGAAGGAAAAACTAAAAGTGAGAACAAATGATTAGAGAATCAAGAAGACAATCTAGGCAGGACTGCAAATGGAATGAAGATCATCAAAGGGAAAGGGAAAGAAAGGTCATGAATGATGCCACAGATGGACAGGTAAAGCCTGAAGCAGATCTATTAGAGTTGACAGTTGGGGTCAGGGGGATAGGGACACCAAAGGAGTCACTTGCTAGAGCTGTCCTGTTCAAGGAAAGGACTGCACCCCGACACAAGGGAACTTGGATCTTGGCAATGCATAATGAAAAAAGAATGCCTGGCCACAAATTAAGTTTTTTTTGACAACTGTGCATGATTAAAAGAAATAATGGGATTAAAATACTGAGATGGGGGGCTGGGGATTTAGCTTAGCGGCAAAAGCGCCTGCCTGGCAAGTGCAAGGTCGTGAGTTCAGTTCCCAGTACCGGAGAAAAACCAAAAAAAAAAAAAAAAAAAAAAATACTGAGATGGACTAGTCAAAGACAAAGCACAATCACTCTTTCCCATTACATCTAACACTGACTATAACACTCGTAATAATGCACTATGGGGTATTTCAACATTAAATTTTAATTTGAGCTTGCGGGTGGCAAAATTTCCCTTTGGCAGCTTGACAGCTATACTTGAAAAGGTCCCAAGAACTTATAGGTATTAGCTAGACAGATGGTCAAGGGATAAAGACATTCTTCATCCTTTTTCCCCCCTAGAGCTCTTTAAAACCAAATGGTGTTATTAGAATGTTAAGCTCATTCAGCACTTGACTACAGGCGTAGTCAAGTTGTTTTAAAACATCTTTTTACCCTTCAATTTCCTCGGAATGAACAGGAACAAAATATTCAATATGCCAAAGTTAGAGGAAAATGAAACAGCAAAAAGGAAAAGCTTCTGCAAGCCTTAAAACAAAAATTTTGTAGAATAATAAATAATCTTTAAATATACATGCTCTAATCTTCTTAAATTAGTGGCATATAAGAATGGTGACAGTGACAGAGTCTTTTTACAAATCTCACTGCTTGTCCTTAGAAACAAAGGCCTTTTTTCACGAGGCAAAAACAGAGCTATCTAATCCTTTACACTTTATAGTCAATACATAATCTAATTATTTTGGTGAATAAATTCATAGGAAGGTAACCTGTAACATGCACTTAGAAGGGAATTTATAACAAGAGGCTAATATTTAAGAAGACATAAAATGTTAGTAATGACTTCTCCCCCTTAAATAAGAACATTTCTTCATACTGTAAAGACTTTAAGAATCTCTACCATAAAAATAACTTACCTAGCTCTTCATTTTCAATGACTTCGAATGTGGCCCATATATCACCTTTCGTAGGAACAATATTTTTTATTGCTAATATGTCATTAGTTAATTCTTCTGCTTCCATCACAGGAGATATCTGCCAAAAAGGCAATATGTCTTTAAAAACTATGTCAGACACAGAAGCGGCCTTGTGCTACAGCAGTAATACTCTCTGTCTAACAATATCCCATTTCCTCAGATGCTAAAAACTACCTTCTCTAAGCAGTAGGAAGAGAGAGCAGGTCCAGATCATCTCCATAAAATTTAATTTAATTTAATGTACATACAAAGGGATATTACAATATACACAAAATCATGAAGGATTCTCTCACTTAGTGAGAAAGGAAGGAAAGATTCTTAGTCACATACAGAGTTACACCAGACAACAAACACAATCATCTCCTAGCAGTAAGACTTTTCATATGTCAGTTCTACAATCAAGAGCACAGAGCGTCTTGGTTTATTCAAAGGGGGCCCTAAATTATACACAGCTGACTGACTGCTGTCTGTCCTGCCAAGCAGTCCCAGAGCTTTGATAGTCTATGGAGTACCCGGCCGTGCCAAGTGACAGATGGCGGGGTACGGAAGTGTGCGGGAGCCAGGATTTCAGGGCAGACTCGGCAGAGCCAGCCTGGGGCCCAGCTCCTCGAGCCTCCTAATGCCAAAGCCAGAGGCCACTGCAGGAGCACACCACTTCTCCTAGGACTTTCCGGATTTCTGATTAGCTTCCTCTTATTTATTTCCCAAATCTTCAGTGCCCACTGGCTAAAACCATCTCTTTAGCTAGAATTTAGTAATAATTCTTGTTTCTTGTGAAACAAGTTTTAAGCATTAGCACATTGTGAATGCAACTTAGTTTACACATCCCTCTTCTAAAATTTCCTAGTAAAGGAACGTGCTCATTTCCATTTCTACTCCCCCTTGCTATTCTTAAGCCTGTTGGGCATATATAAATAACAAAAACACTTTCCACTATAGGCAATTCACATGCTCTGTTTTTCTTTTCTTTCCTATCTTTTGCATTTCATGAAATTTAGGGCTTGCTTGAGGAATATATTAAATATGAAATGAAGTACACTGTTGTATTTAGCTTGTATAAGCTTTAAAAAACATTAGCATCTGGGGAAAGTGGAGAATTCCAAACAACAAGAACAGCATATAAATAATTTCAATGTTGCTTTTGATCTACATTAATTTAAAAATTTTAAAAGAGGAGCTGCTCTTCAAAAATAATAATTACTGAGAAGGAAAACTTGTGAAATAGATAGTAGAGAAGTGCCTTGATTTGAAGCCAAAGATCCTTTGCCTCAGAAGAAACCCAAAGCCCCTCTTTAAAACAACTAGAACTCCACGTTTAGGGAATCATTACTTTATGGCATGTATGGGTCAGCATAAGGACCACCAGGTCTGGCAGATGATGACAAGGTTTGTATATGGGCTTAATTTCTTTCAATTTTGTTTTAATTCTTATAAATTAGAATGCTACCTACTCCCATCTACCTCTAAGGGTTGAGGTAAAAATCAATAGAGATAAATATAACTAATGGGTTTTGCAAAGTCTTAAGTATGAAAACCAACATTCCTGGTGATTTCTGAACTGTTTTTGTATATTTTTCAGGAACATTTGGAATTGTTCTCAGTGAAAACGTACAATTTCATCTATACACACTTAAGAAAATGTGAAAACGTTGCTACACTATAATTTCTGTTCTAGTTCTGTAAGTTACGTAAACTAAAATGTGCTACTACAGAGTTCCTGTGTAGGCACAGTTAAATAAGGTGCTTTGACTGTCTTTTCCAGCATTAGTAATTGACGTGTGCTGATTATGTATCCTAGTTTCTCACGTGCCTTATGAGCAAAACAACACATTTGACGTAAGAACTATGATGTGGACAAGGACTGGCCAGACAAATGCCTCATAAAGGTCTTGATCACCACTCACAATATTTCACAAGTTCTATGTAAGTTAGCTAGTGCCACAGAGTCATAATATGTAAGCATTAGAAATATCTAAATTAATTATTATAATATATTTAACATAAAGTCCAAAACTATCATATGTTGTGATTGGTTAAAGTTGGGTTTCAATAAAGGTAAGAAGTGAAAGCTGAACTTCCTTACATAGCAGAATGTCTATTCTGCAGGGAGGAAAAGTAGTCTTACCAAGCAAGAACACGAAGTATCACAGCTACTATACACAAGGCAAACTAATTACTGAATACAGCAGTATGAGAAGGATCTATGTTTTAATTCAGCACAAACAACTGATACTCCCAAGGAGGAAAACAGTTATCCAATATTCTAATAAACTAGAAGACTGAATGTTAAAGTACAGGAAATAAGGATGAGTAAATAATAATGACAGTAACGATACCGCTATAGTAACAGTTATTTGTTAAACATTTGTTGAAGAATTTGATGCTGTTTTACATGTGAGAGTTGAATAAATCCTCATATCAGTGATATAATGTAAAAACTGTAACCTTTCCTCATGTTATAAAGGAGAACAGTGAGGCTGAGACAGGGTTAATAACTTGCCTAATGTTAAGTTAGGAAGGGAAAAAATCAAATATATGAGTTCAGGTAATTTTCCAGAAACTACAGAAAATCCTAACCTTTGTCAGTGACCGAAACATAACATTCCTGGAGAATACTTATATGAAAATACAATCTTGTCATTAGTCATTGCCTCAACTAGAAAAGTAACATAAAATATAAGAAATACTGGAAAATTCAAAATATACGTAAATTGATGCTAATACTTATCATGTCCAACAGCACGCTTTACAACCTTCTTTAGAACTCACCCGAATTATAATGCTACAGTCTGGTTCTTTCCTTTCTACGTACACCTCAATTAACAAATCTCCAGCCTGGGAAACCTAGAAAGGGCAAATTTGAAGATAGCGTATACATCACTAAAATATGACGCTTTACATGATTTAAAAACTCTCATCACAACACTGACATTAGCTCTATTCCCTTGTTCACAAGCATGATGCGCTTATTTAAAGATAAGGTCAATGATAAGAGTGCTACATTGTTACTGAAATCATGAACATGGCTCTCGTTGAAAACAGAGATCATCGGGGCCATCACCATCTACCTTAACTGGATAAAGTGAGGAGTCAAAGGAGCCAAATATAATTCTGCTCTAAATCACAATGTAACCATAATATCAATAAAGATAAAATAGGTCATGTTAAATTTTGAAGCAATGATAAACTCCAAACATTGTAATTAAAGGATAAATTAGCTCAGATCGATATTAAAACTACAGATAGAGAAAGTGAATTTAGTAAAACAAATAAAACAAAGTAAATTATTGGGTAGACAGTAAAGGTTTATTTTAATTATCTTTGACTAAAAATTTAAGAATAGTATCTGGGTCACTATATCCCACCAAACTAAAAGAAGATACAAGTTAGAAAATAAAAATAAACTTCTGAAAAATATTTTGAGTACCTCTTTTCAGAAATTCACTGTTATATAACCGTTTACAAATAACAATCATTACCCAATATTTTTAAAATTATAATGGAGAAGGAATCATTCGGAAGTTAAATTTGGCTCAATGTAAAATCTGATGAGTAAATTTATGGGTGGGACATTAAAAATGTACTTTGACAAAGTGTTCATAATTATTCTGTCACAATAGGCATAGAAAAGATCATTTCCAAATTTTCTTTCTTACTTTTGATGCTATGCAAAAATTCTAGGAAGAAAAAGACACAGTTGACATTTTTTGCTTTTCACTATGTTTGCATAAATAACTCTCCAGGAAGGACACATTTCAAAAATTAAAAAAGCAAACACAAAGAACTCATAGAAAAAAGCCATAAAGAAAAACAGCCAAGAAATTCAAACGGAGGAAAGACACAGACTGTTAGAAAAATACTCTAGAGGAGAGCTTTGAGTAATGAAAAACTCAAGCAAAGAACCACTTTTTAAAATTCTTCTATGTTTCTATTTACTGTATTATTTAGAAATTTGTTTTCTTTGCTTTTTTTTTTTTTTTACTGCATTGGAATGCATTCAAGACTCTTTTCTTTGTTGTACTATAAATATAAAAGGCAAATGTGCAAAAGGATATTAATACTTTTCTAATAACAATATAGATAATGCTGCCAAAGATTACCTCCTAGGCTCATACAACCTTTTATTTCAGAAGTACTCTCGAACAATGAGAATTTAAAAGAGATGTACTGAACCACAGTCTTACTCCCCTGGAAGTTGCAGTAATGACTCTGGGTCAAAATGGGTGCACTAATTTGTTAAGTATATACTATCACAGTATGAGTACTGAGCAATAGAAGTGGTGCCTCATCTGCTTCGTATGGAATGACAGTTCCAGTGCTTCCTCTGATTAGTCATAGGCATTTCAGGATTTAGGTAAATTTAGGGTCTGACTAATAAGGAAGCATTTGCTTCATTATCTGACTGTAACTATAAACAGAGCACATTTAACCCACTTCTATTATTTACACTGAAAACTTGAATCCACTATAATTCCTACTTACTACACGATGATTAATGGTCAGCTTTAAGAGGTTGCAATGAATATTCATCAAACAATGTAAGGTACCACAGGAAAGCATAATGCAACCTGAAAACACACATCCCATATAATACAATTCAGGAAAGCAAGGCAGAATTTAGGAAAGATGACTTAAAAATTAGCCTGTATTACAAAGACCACTTAGAAAGGATCTCATTAACATAATCAACTGAGAGCACACAGAGCAAAAGCATATAAGAAATAATTTATATTTTCAAAATCACGATAGAATCATTATGCTATCTGAATTTGCAATTTCTTCTGGTATTTATATATTTGTTTTTTGGGGCTTTAAATGCTTCCTTTGAATTCCACTAGCATTTTCAAGTGTTTTTTTTTAAAATAAATCTTGATAAATGAAATAGATTTTTCCTCCATATTTAAGAAATTATGTTAACACATCATGCATGGATGTATCAGGTTGCAGAATCACATGATTACTTTATCAAGGTTCTTTTTCCTCATTACTTCTGCTTTCCTTCAGAAAGGAACTTGGAAGTACAATGAATATTTTTATTTACAATCAAAGTTTTTGTTTTTGTTTAATTCTTTAGAAATCTAACTATTACTACTCACTTGGGTGTCTTTCCACTTGGTAATAAAGCTATTTTCTATGTCCATTTGTTTGACTTGGTCTTCTTTAACCTGTTTAAAATATAATTTGGGACATTCTAATAATGTAGAACACAAGGACTGATGATATTTATCCTCAATAACTCTTCAGGAATTTAAATCCTAACAAGGTAAAAATAAATGAGAATGGCGATGTTAACCAGCATGGGGCCACACAGCTAGGGCAGAAATAAAGCCAACAAGACAGAGTCTCATAACGTTCAGAGCATGTGTGGATGCTATTCCTTCAGGCTGTGGCTTCCACCCAGGGAAGCCCCATTGCTAAGGAGACTAAACAAGCGAAGAGATTGATGACTTGTTTCAAAGTTCTCTTGGTCGAGATTCATGACTCATTTCTCACACCAAATTTTTCATTGAGTGCTTATTAAATCTTTAACATCCAAGAAAAAATGAGTTTAACCTAACTATGAAGATTTAACTGTAGTTGTTTATTTTCTATTAATGGAATAGGACAAAACTAGAATATAAAGAGAGCATATAAAGCCACACTTTTTACTTTTTTTCTTTTCAGGAACAAATGATTGCAAGAAGTTGCTATTGATCAAAAACAGGGAACACACATACGAAGAAATAGAGAAGAGATCAAAGAGCAAGGAAAATTTAAAAACCATGGTGTCCGCTCTTCTATGAATTTAAGTAGAAACTGTACTTTATTAAAATAGCTCTTTCCCCTTCACCAAGGAATCTTGTGGTAAGTTATTCTAATGAGAATGTAGATCTCCTCAGATAGTGATCTTTTAAGCTATTACACTAATTCATCCGATTTCATCTGGTGTATCTGTACCTCTAGAAGACAAGTAAATTTTTAAACATCATTTAGTAGAATGCCCATAGGGGTAATATGAGACACTAGAATTAGTTATGTGATAGAACTGGATCTTCGACATAGACCCCACATATTTGAATTATGGGCTTATTTCCTCTATTTTCATTTAGATGAACTATGAAAGCATTCCATTGCTGCAATTTACTGATAAAATATGAAAATACTAACTTCACAAAACAGCAAATTCAAAAATCAAGGAACTAAGACGGTGTTAACTTAGTACAAACCATGGAATGAAAGTATTTCAGAGATTTTCTCGTTGGAGGCACAATTAAAAAAAGTTAAAATGCTTTCAATTGTAGAATTTGAAAGGCCATTATTTATTATTATATTTGGTAAATTCACAACTTCATACCTTTTCATAGATATACTTAATGCATAAACATACTGAGAAGAAAATTACACATACACAAAACTCTTATACGTAGAACTATTTTATCCAACAAAAACCAGATGGTAAAAGAGCTTTAAAAGCACAGATGAATTTAAATGAATGGCTATAGGTTAGAAAGCTGGTTATATTTAAAAACTTCAAAACATAACTATCCCTTATTTTCTTCATTTCTAAATGTAAGTAAAGACGAAAAACAACATCCTAAAATATGCACCTTTCTTTGCAAACCATAACATCGAAACTATATTAACAAAGGCAGGATGTAAAATACTTACCTCAAATATTTCCACATAATTATTAATTAGGTCCTCGATTACATTCACTTCTTCACTCGTTTGTCCCTTAGTTTGAAACAAACACGATGAAAACACCAAAGCCAGATTATGGGCATTCATGTGATTGATTTCTGAGCATTTCTGAACTCTATTCGAGAAAAACACAGCTAATCATGACGCATTCATTCAGGAAATCTCACAGAACTAAACTGTAAGCCAATATACTCATTTATCATTTATTTAAGCAGACATACATTAAAGTTCCACAACATAAAAGGAACAGTGGTGATTTAAAAAAATAAACAAACAGTGTGCTTTATTCCAAGTAGCTTTGGAGTCTACCTAAGGACAAGAGGAAAAAACTAATGTGAAAGGAGAGATCAGGAAAGTCACAAAACCGTATTTGCTGGTGATTTAGAGGGTAGGTTGGCCACATCTGTAAGGTTACAGTCGGTGAAACTACCTGTGGCCAAAGCATAAACATGTGCTTCCAGAGTGATACAAAACAACTTCTTGGGGTGCAGCATAATGACAGAGGAAAGATGAGGAAGAAGTCAGTAGCAAACAAGGCAGTAAGGGTGGATTGCTAGGTTTACAGTGTAGTTCTGAATTCCAGATTTGAGACTTAGTTACATTTTCCTGAAAGTATATATCAGGTAAGAAAGGACACCTGGCAACATGTATTTAGATGGTTATTCAAAATGGATATTGTTGTATCTCAAACAGCAAACTCTTCATTTAGAAACACAACTGCACTTTTCACGGATATAACTAAGAATGCCTTTTTTGAAATGAACAGATAGTGCCAGACAGGGTGGCTCACACCAGTGATTTTGGGTACTTGGGAAGTTGACGCAGGAGGACTGCAAGCTACAGCTCTGCTTGGACAACTCAGGGAAACTGTGTCTTAGCTTAGTGGTAGAGCACTTGCCTAGGATACCTAAGACCTTGGGTACAGTCTCTAGTACCAGAGAAATAAGAGCAGATATAAACAAACAAGTCAACTTTCTACTCAGTAAGCTATAACCAGGAGCAAGTGCAAGTATCATGTGATTTACAAGATGCAAAAGAAATTAGCATTTAATAAAGGAGGAATGCAGCAACTGCAGACACCACTCTCATAACTACTTCTGTGCTTTTATCACACTAGACTGTAAACATGCAGAAAATTTATCTCCATGACTGCCACTGAAGCTAGACTCTCAGGTTCTCACAGTCAGGCACTCTTGCTTTAATCACACTGTACTGCATTTTAAATATCTGGTCAATGGAATTAAGTGGAAATTACTAATGGTTAAAGTGATCTTTTATCTAAATTGGGGGTTGAATTAAATGCTACATCAACCTGACCTTAACCAAATTCACCTCTCAAACTTCTGATGACATTATCAAACATTATACCTTTCCTCAGATCACTTCTGCAACATCATTCCCATCTGGCACTCTCTACCCCTTTTATTTTTAGGTCCTGAAACTGCTTTAACTTCTGGAAGAAACTGGGTGTAACACAGATTTTCTTTTTCTTCCTTTACTTCTTGGTGCCCAGATGCAAGCATTCCAAGTGTTCCACAATCAGCCTGCTCAGTCTCTTTTCATTCCAACCTTCTCATCAGGAATCCAGAGAAACTGTTCCCTATGCAGTTTCTCTGCCTCTCCCAAGTCTGATCACAGGAGCTATTGGGCTAAAACATATTTGAATAGGTATTCATTACTTAAAAGGAATAGTCCAAATGTTTTTGCATGACCTGAAAAGCCTGACAACCTCCTGTCAGCTAACTATAAATGGTCTCATGTCATCTCTTAGTACTCATCTGTCCCAGAAGATAGATAGCCTTTATTCTGCATGTGTGTGTGTGTGTGTGTGTGTGTGACAGAGAGAGAGAGAGAGAGAGAGAGAGACAGACAGACAGACAGACAGACAGAAAGAGACAGAGAGGCGGGGAAACAGAGAGAGAGAGAGACAGAAAGAGAGACAGAGAGACAGACAGAGAGAGAGTCTTCTATGTTGCCCGGACTGGTCTCCAAGCTGGTCTTGGACTCCTAGACTCAAGAAAGTGTTCCTCTTGCCTCAGCCTTCCAAGTAGCTGGGACCTCAACTGTACCATTGTGTCTGGCTTTGTACTTTTATTTTTTTTCCATACACTGTTGATATTTCTTTTCAAATATAAAGTATATAAACATTCTGTGGAATTCAAGCCATAGTGACTCACTCATTCTCTCCTCTATAATTACATGCTTCATGCTAAAATTATGTGTATAAAATTTACCCAGCATCTCATAGACTATATTTGTATGATGCAATAAAGAAATCAGTTTTGCTGGGAGTGTAGCTTGGCAATAGGGCATCGACTTAACATAGTCCCCAGCACCAAGGGGGAAAAAGACAGAAAATCAGTTCTACAATGGTAAGAGTTTACAATCCTTCATGAAAACTAGTGGTTGAAAAAGATAAAGAAAAGATGGTATGTTGTGAAAGATTTCTAATGTAGATTCCAAAGAAGATATTTTTAGTAGACTTCAGCTTTACAGAAATTTATCTAAGGGAATATTTTATTCAGACAGGGAGCTGCAATATATTTCCTTAAGCAAAATTTACCATTATGAAAGTTTTTATAATAATTCTGGCTAAGATCAACACACACAAACCAATCTTTAGTTTTAACTTAAAAGGTTATTTTTAAATACCCTCATCCTCCAAATCTCTCAATTCTCCATTTTATTTCTTATCTCCTTCCATATGCAGAGCTATCCTCATGCCAGAACATACAGAATACTTTTCATTTTAAATATTTCCTCATCTGATAAATCTGCTATCAAATATCAGGGATCAGGTAAGATATAAACTGATAATGAAAAAAATTAAAGTTGCTAATCTAATGAGCATATCAAAAGAAAATGTATCCTCAGAAACAGATTCCTGTCAGCGAACCCTGATCGCTCAGCATACAATAAACCATTCACTCACTCTGTAAGTGCATGCTACATGCTTTTAAATTCTCTACATTAAAATGTGTCCCACATTCCAGAGACAGACACAGACTATAGACTATATTTGTATAATGCAATGAAAATTAACCCCTTCCTTCTCCAACTCTTACCCAAATGAGTTTTAAAATTCTTGCTTATACACTGGGTGCACTTGGAGATTTTTGATTATTTCTGATTCACTTAAATTCTCCAGTACCATTTAATTGTGTGACTTTAACCACAGAAAAGAAGACTAAAGCAATAGGTCTTGCTCTATGGTGAAAGAGTCACAGTCACATGTTGAAGGTCAGCTACACAACTTTAAGAAGAAATAATGACTTATTAAGTGCCATGTTTGAAATGTCTAGGAAGGTTCAGGAATCCACCCACCTGTAAAGGTGTTCAATTATAGCTGCAAGCGTTGCTCGGTTAACTCCTGGAAGAGTACGTATAAATGCTCCATACTTTTTAATTCTTTCCTTTTCATCTTGTGTATCTAGAGGGAGAAGAAACAATCTTTAGATTTTAAACTAATCATTTATATAATAAATCAGTCTTTCCAAAGTATTTTAAAAGAACAGTTACAAGTATTATAGTAAGTGACAAAATAAGCTTTCAGTAGAAAAATATAAGATAATTGCCTATATTTCTAGAAAAGCATTTATTTACATAAATATTCCATGGCTACATTCTACAGTTCTTATAATTTATAATTTAAAAATAAAGCACTTTGAAAATGGGATGAGAGGCTTTATTTATCTTCTACTTTACAGACTATGAAACTTTAACTTAACATGAATACACTCAGTTAATTACTCAAATTGGCGTACAAATTGGAAAGCTAACACAAAAGCATTTTAACTCTGCCTGTCAAGTGGATTCATTACTTTGATTTGAAAATGACATTTCTGATCTTTTTCTTTATGAAATGAAGATCTTCCCAAAGCAATGGACTATCCTAGAGCTAAGAAATGTGTGTTACCCTCTGGTCCATGTGAATGGCCTTTTACCATCCCTGCTTTCTTCAAATCTTTGAAGAAGTTCAGGGACAGTGAAAGAGGCCGCATACAGGCCTTAACACAATGATCAGATTTAGAAGGTAGTGGACGTTCTGCCCTTTTCGTGGATAGAAATTAATTAGTCCCTGAAGAAGAAGATAAGAAGGAATTTCCTTCCACTCTTCCAACCCCAAAGACAAATCCACAAAGAAACTAGAGATAAGAACCCCTCTACGTTCTAGACTCTAAAGGATGTACAGTGCTGCTCCTTCCTACCAAAGGAAACGGATGTCATTCCAAGGAAGAATTTGTGCTGATTTTGCAACTCAAAGGGAATACACTTAAATATTTCTTTCAATTTTCTACTACTTTGGAAACTAAAGTTGTTTCATTTCCTGTTTAACGCTACTTATTCTATTGACAAAGAACCAATAACACATTAAAGATTCTTTAACAATTTTCTAGCACTTTTAAAGGACATTGGGGTTCCAGAGATATAAGAAACTGTGTGACACATTTTTCAAGTACGCTGCTATTCAAAAGTGCAAGTGATATCTCTTTAATATTGATTTACCCTGAACATGAGATTTAAAGAGTAACCAGTCATCAATTTCAATGCTGTAGTAGATGATTCAAAAAAGTAATTACGGGAAAATATCCAAATTACGTTAAAAATGTCCAAGTATAATCCAAACATTTGTCTTCATGTACTCCAGTTTATTGTTGCAGGAATAACTATATTTTATTCAATGAAATTTAATACTACTATACTTAAAAATAAGTAACACTAGTATATTTTATGTTTCTTATAATAATAACATAGATATTTTCAAAACAAAGACAAGCAATTGGAAATGAAAATTCAGGAACTGTTTTGGGTAATACAGAAAATACAGTGAATAATTTAACTGGCCCAGAATGCTGATAATTTACCACTGTTCTTAATAAAATAGATCATGTACAAAACATAGGTGGGATATGCTACTGAATGGTACTTCTAGGATCAGGTGCACAGGGCACAAGTAAGTTCTTCAATAAGGTCACCCAAGAGTCAATGTTTATCCTGTCAGAACGAACAGCAGGCACTTCTGAAGTGTCTGGCTCAGTTATATTGGAATCAAGGCAAAAGACATATGGGCTGTTGAGCCTAGCATTCAAAGCTTTCTCCAAGTACGTTCACACCGAAGTGAAAGGTCTTTTCCGACACACGCCTATCAACTGCCACCTAACTCCTCCTCATGGTAGAGTGATAACAGTAAAAACTTCTTTGCCATTTGAGGGCTTTAGCAAAAACTTATTTGTTATATATTATGATTTTACGATAAAGATAAAATGTAAGCCTTCCTAAAACAGAAATACTAAATACAACTTTACAGTTATAAATTACAACAAAGTCAATGAAAAATCAATGTTGCAAAGGAATCACACTTGAACAGAGATATTTATCTGATTATACATCTTATATCCAAGGAAATCATTCAATCGAATTTTGGGATCACAATTAACCTTACTGATTTGAAAAATATTTAGAAGTGACTAAAAGATGGCCTTCAGAATTAGGTAAACTATGATGTTTTATTTTAATAACTTTACTATTCTTATAGTACTGATACTAGTAAAGATCAGTATAGGAATAATTTATAATTCATTTTAATAACATTACTACTCTTTTAGTACTGATACTAATAAAGATCAGTATAGGAATAATTTTCAAATTGTAGCTATTTTGTGATTTGTGATATGATTTCAAAATTAATGCTTTCAAATATATTAATTATATCTTAAAATGAACGAATATTTTTAGTGAAAAAACCTATTTTTCAACAAAGGAATAACAGAGCCAAAGTTAAAAGCCATTTTTCCAAATGACCTTAAAATAGATTAAATTCTGAGAAATAGACATAATTACGCTAAAAAATCAAAGCTCAATTTTAAAAACTAAAATTAGATTGAAAATTATCATATAAAAATGTAGGTATGTAGGAAATGCTTATAGAGTCCTAAGAAAAATAAAAACATTTTATGTATATAAGTCATAAAAAGACTAAAATACAGAAAAATGAAAACACCTTTATTAGAGGAGATTAGAGCCAATGTTCACATTTAAAAATCTTTATTATTGTAATGCTTTATAAATTGGTTACTTTAAATTAATGCATATAAAATAAGTCTTCATACATTTAATATGACCCTAAGAATGATTTACTAAATCACTTTTCTAGAGTCATCTCTCAAATTTTCTTCATTAGATGGAATCTAGGGACAATGAAGAAAGAGTAAAAAAACTCAAACCTACTATGTATACTAAAAATATAGAATAGGGCCAGGGATATAGCTCAGTGGCATAAGCTCCTGCCTGGCAAGTGCAAAGTCCTGAGTTTGATTCCCGGTACCAAAAAGAAAAACACTAGAATAAATGACAGAGGAAAAATAAATGTCATGCTAATTTCCAGATTACCAAAGATTTAGCATTATAACTATCAAACCAGAAAGCAAATACCGACTCTGTCCTCTGTTCTATACATTACCTAAGGCAGAGACCCAGTACGGGTAGAGCTCCTTAGTGAGAAGCGCGTCGTCGATGTCAGACAGAAAACGTTTCAGCACACCCGTGACATCTTCAAGCTGATGCTTTCCAGCCCTCAACTTAAAACTTCTTGCATCCTTCTTGAAATTCTCCAGGAGTTCACTTATGTGCAAAGGATCACCATTCTTTTGATAGATGTACTTGCAACCCAAACCTTTGTTTCCAAAAAAAAGTTTATTTGAAAAAAGTAAAAATTTAAAATGTACTTTGACAGAAAAATTTTTCCGTTGGCATGATAAGCAACATGAAGATATCATTATGCAGGAGAGGAGCGGCTTCCTACCACTAATTTCAATGTTTAAAATGTAAACCTGATGAACGAACTATTCCATCCTCAACTTTTAGCCAGTCTCTGGCCAGCAATTCCTCCAGTTCTTCATAGTCTCTTTTACAAATGTTCTTTTACGTCAAGGGCCCCATTTCCAATTACTGTCCCAGAATACAATCTTGCCAAACTAAGGCACTCTGGTAAAAACAAAATCCCCAACCTTTCAGCTCCATATTTGTGTATTAGGTTCTTTCTGCTTTCACTTTGACCTTCTTCTAAAGTGAAAATAAAGTAATAATGATTGGTAAGTGGGACAGATGATGATGACCTGATGTGGTAAAGAAACAAAAAATATTTGATGGGCCCTTGAATCTTGCTTTTTTTTTTTTGTTTTTGTTTTCTTTTCCAGTACCAGGAATCAAACTCACAACCTCGCGCTCACCAGGCAGGCGCTGTGCCGCTGAGCTAAATCCCCAGCCCTGGCCCTTGCATTTTGTAATCATGGACAGTCTCTAAGTTTATATCAAATCTTTTTTTTAACCTATGCTAATAATAATGAAGCTGTACCCCAGATTCTAATCATACTGGCTTTATTACTTTAATATGCAAGTTAATGCACCTTGTATTAGAGCTATAAAGTAGTTATAATACATAGTATATAGTTGAGAACAATCTAATGGTTAATGATTTTAAATTCAAATAAATACCATGAGGAAACTTCTAATTTCCCTAAGGAAATATTAAATTGGATACACTGGAGCTACTCAAATTATTTTAATCATTTGCCATCTTAAGAAAGACCTTATGCTATTATGCAACTAACGTGATATGAAAATTTCCAATGAGGTTATGTTCTTGCTAAAACATAGTATATGTGCAATTCATTTACTCTTGTAAAATACAAGCATGCTAATACTGGATAACTGTAATAAATGAAGAAGGTAAGTTTTTATTTGCTCATTTTCAAATAAATTTGACTACAGTTGATAGGAAAAATATAAACTTATTTCCATAGCAAGGACCTTCCTATAATAAGACCACATATGTGATCTGATACATATTTTCAAGAGAGATATAATACAAACACAATGAGTCTGCACATTAATAGTAACTGTATTTGGATTACGTATGAAGTATGATGCTTAAAATACCACTCTCCTTAGAAGATATTAAAACACACATATTACAAGGTTAATTCCAGAAAATGATTTTTGTCAAAGTGCTTGTTACTTCTGACATTTCTCATGCATCTGCACACTGTCAGACTTCCATTCTAGAACATCAGCTGCATTGCTTTGCCTTTCACTTTCTATTCCCACTTCTCTGTTTCTGGTAACGCTTACTAACACCCATTTGCTGTGGCCCTCTCACCACGTGTGCCTTCTCTTTCAATCAAAGCACCTGAACACACCTCTAATAACATGAGAATAAAATAGTTCATGCATCCTCAAAAACACCAGATCATTCATTTGACTCTTTTCCATATGTGTACTCTAAATAAATGGCATTCATCTGTAGGTTATCAGGTAGAAAACATTTTAAGAATACAGGTAAGAAATATCTACTTTCAGAATATGAAGATATATATATAAAACTGAGAACAAATGTGAAGGATACATAATAATTTGAAAATAAATATGAGCAACAATATAAAATACCCACTCTACCACACAAAATTAAATGAACTATATAGATATACATTACGTTGTTTCTACTTGCTATTTACTCATAAAATTATCTGGTGCAAATAAAGCAAAATATTACAATTAAAAACCAGACTTCTTAATAAAAACATTTGACCAACACCATGTTGAATGAAATAAATACACATGCATACCTAAAGAAATCAAATTCTTTTACTTATTATTCCATAGTTTTTACACTTCTAAACTCAGGCTTAGTGAGGTGACTTACTCTAGATCTTATTCTAGATTTGGAACTTCTAACAATATAGTTAGAGTCTCTATTATATTCACATACATTGTACAATACATTCTTTCAGTGTGTTATTTAACATTTTCATGGATATAAAGGATGAAGGAAATGGTAAAATAGTTTAAATGACTTTTACTAGGAGAAGGGATGACGATTATCTGAATTAGACAGCATGCTCTTATTTTTCACAGGCATAATTATGTAAGAGTACTAATTCAGTCCAATGGAGGTGCCACTTGGAAACTGTAAGAATGATTCTAGGAGTTCTAGAAGTTGAATAAAAACTCTGCGATACATACCATACTGTGTAACAAATGCTATACAGCTGTTCACAATAATGGGAACGTCATTTTTGCTGAGCTGCTGATCCTGTAATGCATTACCATCTGTACCTGCTGCTTTTTCAATTGCAGTATGCCAGACTGTGAAATCCAACTTGGTATGCCCATGGATGTATAACGTTCTGTTAGGTTTAAAAAGCATTTGAAATTAGAATTTTTCTCTTAAAAAATTTCTTATTTCAAGACAGATTATCCCTAAAACCACAAAAATATGATCCTGTCTCACCCAGCTGAAAGACCTTTCCTTTTCACCTTCCACCCACTGCTAGCTTCCACTCAGTCCATCTTTTGCCTTGACAGTCACATCTCTGCTTGAGTAGAGAAGTCGTCTCCACATACCAGGCCACCTCTGAACTCCCCTTTTAACACGAAGACCATAACGGTAACGACACCAGTAACTTCTAATAGATGTTTCTGGCTTTTAGAAAAAGATGTTAGAATCATCCATGATTTCATTTCTTAAAAAAGTTACCATCCGACTCGGCCTTTATGGCACAATTGCTTCAGGATTTCTCTCTTATCTTTCTAGTCACTTGTTCAGCCTCAAGTTCACTTCCCTTTCCTGAATAACAAGGCTGTGTGCGATCTCTGCACCCACAAAACCTCCACAGACAAGTCGTTCAGGCCAATGATCTCATCTCCCGTATGCAAATTGGGAATCCAAAATCCCTACCTCCAGGTGATGACTGCCCTCTCAACTCTGCTCTTGCTAAAATAAACAAACAAACCAACCAACCCCAAGAATAAGGAGCAGCGAAAATACTGGAGGTGCAGTCAGACTTTCCAAATTGAAATTTTAGTTTGGCTGCTTGCTTTGTAACTTTGGACCGTTTATCAACTTGTCTGTGCCTCAGTGTTGTCACCACTGAACTGAGGATGACAAGAACAATACAGCTCAGCAGACAATACATATTAATAACTAATGAAGGATACTAATAAATATTTATTTTTGGACACTTTCATCTTAATATGCAACCAACTTGCCAAAGATTTCCCTCTCCACATCCTAAACTGCTCCTGGCACTGCAATTCTCCACTTACTCCACCAGCAACGCAAGCCGAATGAACTCTAGCATAGCTTCTCTCCCAGTCGGCGAAACATAAATTCAGTCACAAAGTTCTGTTGACACTACTGTCCCAAAACACTCATTCTGTCTCCTCTTTTTTCCAATACTCTCTTATTTTAGATCTTTGTATTATTCCTTGAGGCACTAAAAGCCCTAACTGAATTCCTTCTTCAATCCTCTACCCTTCTTTGTTTGTTTTTGGTGCCAGGGGAATCTAAATCCTCTACCCTTCTAGCCTCTACTCCTCAGCACTATCAGAATGATCTGAAAAGCTAATGACACCATGTACGGATCACTGTAAAAGGTGTTTATGAACTGGCCTGTATTTTGCCCTCCAAATGAGTCCTCTATACTCAAGACACTCTTTTCTTAAGAAAACCACATTTCCTATCTTCGCAATAAACATCTACTTTCTCCTTGGCTATGCTAGCACAACCACAAAGGTGTACTCCACATGACTTTCCCAGGCCCTCTGAACCTGATCTCTTTCTGTTCTTAGTGAGTCACAAGTTTCGCTTCTTAACTCATCGACAGGCAATTTGCCGTCTGTTAAACCATCTGTTGAATCTATGTATTTTAGCTACAAACTTTGCACATGTGAACAAGAAGCACTTCAGTCTCTCAAGTTTACACAGTGCCTGACATGGGGCAGACACCTAACAGCGTTACCAGCATAACATATCATTTGACACAAAATAAATGTGCATGTATTTCAAGTATACGCAATCTAAAAGTATTTAATCTTGATTTCAGGCAACAAGAGGGCAACTTTTGATTCAAACTTCTCCTCTCCCCTCCGCTCTCTCAAAAAGGGACTCAGCCACATGATCTTTGGGGCTTAGGAGAACGGGTGAAGAGTTCATCTTCTTATATTTCCTGTCACCTCTGGCCACGATTTTAAAACTTTTAAGTAGTCTTCCTTTCCTGTATTTTCTCTTCTTGCAATGCTCCTATAAGAAGTCAAAGCTACCACCACCTTATTACACTTTCCAGCAGTATCTGAGCTAACTGCAACTACTACTTTTCCCTGACAATTGTGCCCATAGTCATCACCTGTGGCTCTCTCACATCCTTACCTGTTGTTTTTAGCTTCCACACCACCACAGCAACGCTCACCTACAGGTTTGTGATTCTAGTTATGGAGACCTCTGATACTTGCTCTGATACTTCTGCCATGTTGTAGCCTTTCAATTATCTTACATCATCTTTTGCTCAAACATACCCCATTGATAGGTACACTGAAGTAAAATGATGTAGCCCATAATCTCCCTGAAAAACATTAACCTCTTAAATTATGTACACGTAATCAAAATTATGTCTTTCTAAATTCAGAAGTTTAGGTAAAAAGAAAAACTTACCATTGCTCTGTTTTTATTTACGTATATTTTACTGATACTTAGACTCTAAATATGACATAAAATCTTGGAAAATGTTTCCTTAGTTATATATTACTATGTGGCCTGTGAAAGAAATTCAAAATGCAATGGTTCTCCTACAACACTAGTATAATTCTATCACTAAATGTGAACCTTTCAGATTTCATATTTTCCTTCTAGTCAGAAGAAATCCCCTGATGACAAGTTGAGCTGTCTTCTTGTGAACAAGTGAGATGTAGAACAAGTAATGACAGGTTAACTCCCGAGTCAACTTGTCAGAGGGAATCCTAAAATATATTATCCATTGCAGTAGATGTCTGACATTTAATAGCACATCAGTTCAACGACTTTCTTCTGTGATGCATATCAAAACCACACAGCAAATAAAGCATCACCAGACATTCTCAACACAAATGCTCGCCAAATTTGTAATTCTGAGTTTCTCACATAATCAATTCACATTTCTGGATAAAGGTTCCAAGGAAACCTTCATGTATATTCTGAAAAATCTCAAAAGTTATTTTGACAAACTGCAATTACAGAGAAATTCATTACTGTAATTGGCCATTCCCAAAGCAAAAATTTCCATGTATCTTTCAAAGTCATATAAAGAAACATTCCTATTTGCTATAATGAATTGAGGCAGTTCAATAAGACCTAGAAACCAAGTCCCAGGACTAATAAAAATGATTCTCTCAAAACTGTGATTTAAGTTTTGACAATCGTATTTGAGCTTGGTCTATGGGTAAGAACCAAAAGCCTCTTCACAACTAACTGCATCAGTACATCTCACGGTATAAAAATAAATTTACTCATGAAGAACAGTTTAAATAAAACAAGAAAAAATAACACACCACAAATATTATTGAAAAATAAAATATCATAAACATTTACATGAAAATAAGAACTCCTAATTCATCACCAGAAATACACTCATAAACCATGAAAAGATAATTTGCAGAAAAATGCAAATTGCCAATAAACACAAACCAATCTATGAATCAAAGATATATATGAAAGTTATACATTATATATATATATATACACACACACACACACACATAGAGAAAATAGCAGTATGTCAAAAGTAAACTATCAAAGATGTAAAATGTGAGCTTTCTCAGTAAAGACTAGAACAAGATGAACACTGTACTTTGTAAACCTATTAGATATTCTGAAGGGAAATTTGGATATGTGTACTAAGAGACTTAAAATATATATGCATCATTTCTGACAAGTAATTGAAATCACAGGAGCCTACCATAAGCACATAATTTGAAATGTAGATACAATACCTATTTCTCACAATATCTGTTTGGGGCCTTTCTCACACATGCACACATGCACAACAGAACACATATGTACCAGAAGACTTAAAAAATGGAAACAATTTAAATCTCAACAAGGAAGGTTAAGTGATTTACTATACATACATAGATACATGTATTTAGTAAAATGAGTAGAGAATACATAATTGAGTGTAAGTATACATTTTAGTTGTATCTTCCAAAATTTTTAATTGTGTATGGGTAAAAAACTGATGTTTTATTATCTATAATGTGGGTATTTAAATATTAAAAGCAAATGACACAACTCAAAGTTTTCACTGGTTTCTTAATAGAAAGGGTATGTATGGCAGCCTTGTGGACTTAGTCTTTTTTTCATTGAGCTTTTAAGCCAGAGAAGTGAAAATCTCTCTGCTAAGCCTTTCATTTATAACTAGGAAACTAAGGACTCAACGAAATTTACGCAAGACCAAAGGCTAAGAATGAATATTACATTTAAGCTAAGAAGGTAGATATTCTGGTCCCACTTGGCAGAACATAGTCCCTAATCTGTTACTTGAGAAATTAGAGCCCTCAGTATCAGAAATGCTCATTGTAGAACTCCGATGTCACTTCTTTTTTGTCTTATCACAGGTTCACAAATCAGTTTCTCAAACAACTTATTAAAAAGTTACATTATTGGAATAAACCTGGAAAGTGATCCTCCGGAGCCACACCTAACAACAAATCTGAAGCGGTACCTCTGTTCACGAACTTCATTCTTCCCACGATTCTGGTTGCAAACTGAATTGGATGAGAACTGAACCAAATTTCCCCATAAGGTCAAGACTGAACCTAGTTGTTCAATTTGTTTCGGTTCTCATTCATTTTGGTTTCTAACCAGAATCACAGAAAGAATTAGGTTCATGAACCAAGGCACCAGTACCACGGTATTTCCTTCTTTAGAGAAGGAAAGGTTTTCATTTTATCTTGGAAAGCATTGTGGGGACATTGGAAATGTGAAGGATATGACTTTGGAAATGTTCACCATGTGTTTTTCTTTATACTTACCTCTCAAAGTAGAGTATAGTAAGCATGCTAGGAGGCTTTTGAGTTTTTTAATGCAAATTTTACTGATATGAGTGATACTTGGTCGTTAGAATTTCTAATTCTAAATTAGTAACATTCACTAATTTTCACTGTACAGTTGAAAACATTATAAAAATGCCTCCTCGCTATAGAACATTTCCATCATTCATACAGTTGCCTAGTAACTCTGGAGTAAATCACTTCTACCCACGAATTTAAGTAAAATTTGGTTGCTTTCCACCATTATTTATTAGTTTACCAGCTCTAGCCTTTCATATAAATGGAATCATACACTATGACCCTTCCCATCTGATTTCCTTTATTT